CGAGAGGCTTTCCCGGGAAGTTGGCACGGCCCGCACCAAGCAGCTGCAAGCCCAAACCCCAGGAGCCCGCCGGCCGCGGGCTCACAGCCGGGAGGACCAGGGCCCGCGTGGCCTGCGTGGGACTTGGGTTCTGGGGGGACTGCACGTGGGCCCCTTTTCTCCGCTTTATAACATGAGTCCACCTGTCCAGGCCGCTTCAGACAGAGCCACAGAACTGCGTGCCGGCGTCCCGGGCAGCAGCCCCGGTGCTGGTTCTTTCCGCAGCTGGAGCGGGGCAGGACCGGCCGTGCCCACTCTGGCTCCGACGGCCCGGGCTCCTGACAAGCGCCACGGGCCTGGCTTCTTGTCACTGCACCTCCCAGGCAGAGCGCTTTGCTCTCTTTGCTAAATGTCCTGTCTCGTGAGCCGAGAAGACAGGACCAGGGTCAGAGAACGTCGGGGCCACTGTCCTCCCTTCCGCCTCAGTCTGCGTCCTGTCCTGTCTGAGTCCAGCCGAGGGGGCACCAGTTCCATGCCTCTCAGGTTCGCCCCTGCTAGAGTGTCGCACAGTAGGACCGCGGAGCACGAGCTGTGGGTCTGGCCCCTCTCTCACCAGTGCTGGGGTTCGCCCACGGCTGCACTCCCCCGCACGTGGCTGGCCACTCCGCAGGTGTCCGGCTCGTTTGTGCAATCGCCGGCCACCGGGCTCTGCGACCTGCCCGGCCCCTGCTCAGTGTAGAATCACAGTGCACGTTCCCACGCAGGTCTCGCGTGGACGGGCTTGTCCTGCCCTGAGCACGCAGCCAGGAGGGGCTGCTGGTGGGCGACTCGGAGCATGGGTAGGAAAGGCCAGGCTCCCCCTGCCGGGCTGAGCAGGAGGCGGGTGTCGCCGTTTCCGCCCTGGCGCCTGCACTCACGCCTTTCTGCAGGTTTTCTCCGCTTTTCCCTCCAGCCAGCCGCGTTCAGCATCTTTTCAACGCTTGCTTTCCACCTGGGCCTCGTCTTTGGTGACGTCTGTTTGAATCATCTGCCGGATTTTTCAGCAGAGTTATTGGGTTCCTTATGACTGAGTTTCGGGGATTCTTGACAGATTCTGGATAGAAGCCTCTTGCCAGGCACTTGTTTTGCATCTGTTTCTCCCGGTATCTTCTGACAGTCGAGCTTTTTGATCTTGTCAGCTGTGTTCTTTAGTGGTTTGTGATCTTTGTGCCTTACGTAAGAAATCTCTGCCAACCCGAACCCCCAGATTTCCCATGCCTTCGTCTATGCGTTTTGTAGGGTTAGCTCTTTCACTTGGGCCTATGATGTATTCCAAGGGGGTGTTTGAATGTGGGGTGGGGTAAGGGTGCGGCGTAGGGGATGTTGTTTACATTTACATAATTTGATCCTAATACCAAAATCATCAAATAGTTTGGGAGAGAAGGAGATCATGTCACTCTGCTTCGTGTAACCAGTACTTAACAGAGAGTAGTGCTGAACCCGGTCTGTTAAATAAGAAAGTGTAGGTCGCGGAGGCAGGTCTACGGTCCCCTCCAGGGGCGGTGCAGGTCACGGTGGAAGGTGCAGCAGCCCATTATCTACAGATGGTATAAATACTAACTTGCACAGTCGAGTTAGCTTGGACCAGGCTTTACTGCGCTGTACCAGGGTGATATAGAAATGCTCACAAAGTTAACCAATCCTCCTTAAGTGCCATGAGCATTTCCAAATCTTGGACGGAGAAATTGTTTTCCTGGATCCTAAAGCAATCTTGCCTTGGGGGACATCGGACATATTTTCTAGTGTGTGGCAAGTAGGACTTCGTCTGGAATTCCCCAAGAGTCACCCGGCACTGCCGCCCTTGGCAGCCGAGGAAGGGCGGGTCCCGGGGCAGACAGGGCTGCCTGGAGGGCGCCGGTGCCCATGGACGGTGACACAGGGAGGGCCAGCTGAGGAACAAGGGGGGACTTCCTGCCATTCAGACGTAGCCGTGCGTCACCACGAGCTCGTTCGGCTCTACCAGGAAAGTGCTGCCCTGCAGACATGTATTCTTGGAAACATTTTTTGTCCTTCTCTGAAGAGGGACCTCTCGCTTCCTTACCAGGCATGCTGGAAGGTTAATGAGCGCTGGACGGAAGCACACGCCACACGACACTGGCGGGGTTCTGCAGCCTGCATCGTGCTGGCCCTTCTCCCTTTCGGTCTGAGGTTGCAGAGTGACTGTGTGTGTCCACGCTCGCTTCTGCCTCTACTCTGCCTCCGTGCTCAGAAGCGCAGTTCCCAGGTTCAGGAAAGCTCTATGGGACAACAGTGCCCATTCGTGTGGACACGGGATCCAAGCAGCATGGGCTGAGCCCAGCCTGGCGCTGTCTGCCACGGGCAGGGAGTGTAACACCTATCACGTATCCTGCCTTGAGCATGTCACCGGAGCGTATGACCCAGAGAAATGCAGACAGAACTCACATCTAAGCAGCAGAAGGCGCACTCCCTGCACCTGAGCCAGACACAGGGCGGAGCTTGGAGCCTCACCCGGCTCCAGACCTTCCCTCCTTAAAAGATAAGAATCACTGCGCCGTTCCACGCACTGCACGGTTCCACCCGTGACTCTCAAACTTTCCAGTACAGGGAATCCCCTGGGGTCAAACACAGACTCAGAGACCGTGTGAGGGGGCCTGGGACTCTGCATTCCCAGCTAGCTCCAGGGGGCTGATGTGGCCCCCACTTGGGGAACGGAAGGTGTCGTGCAGCAGAGGGGGGTGCTGCCCGAGCTCCCTGCACCGGGACTGGAGTTCGCAGTTGCTCTGTGCCCTCCTCATGGGGCAGATGTGGTGGGCCAGGGTTAAAGGTGTGACAGGGCTGCCCCCAGAGGATGCAGTGGCGATCACAAGACATGGCCAATATCTGACGTGCTTAAAGTTCATCACAGTAAGAGATGCACTGCCAGGACCCCCCTTAACCCCCCCTTCAGACACACTCATCCCTTCCTCCTGGCCACTCTCCGCAGCAGCTCTGGAGCTCTCTTTCCTGAGGGTCTTTACCAGGGGTGATAAAAAGTACGGTGATGGCTGCGGCCCGACACCACCCAAAGGAACGGCAGCTCGTAAAAACACAGCGCTGCGTCCTCGTCCACCTGAGTCATGGATCTGGCACCATGTGACTTCCGGCTCCCCCCAAAGTCAAAATGACCGTGAAAGGAAAACACTTCAACTGAGTTCAGGACGCCGAGGCAGCCAGGACAGTGCAGCTGAAGACACTCGCTTGGACGCGAAGCCTGGCTGCCGAGGAAAACCCCCATCTTTCTTTTCTGGAAAATGCTGTCGCCTTTTCTTTTTGTTGGGGTGAAATCTACAGAACAGAAAAACAAGCGCCCCGAAGCGTCACGGCCCGTGGCTTTCACTTCCCGAAGAGCAGCGCGGCCACCTCCCTCACCTAGCAGCACGGCCACCGCCTCCTCAGGAGTCCATAACCGCTGGGCGCCACCCCCCAAGGACACCTGAGGGACAATATCGACTCTGCTGCTGGGCTCCCCCAGAACACGCGGGGCAGAGCAGGACCCACGCATCTGGAGCTCAGACCCTGGCCCGGGGAGCCCAGGCCGCTTCCCCAAGTGCCCGGGGCAAGGGGGGTCCCGGGCCTTGGGCGCTAGTCCCAGCCCCGCCCCTCAAAGTCGCCTTCATCCACATGGGGTCTCCTGGGATTGCAGGACACGAACGCAGCTCAGCTGAGCCTCCGTGGCCCCCACGTCACAGCTCCATCATGTCCCCCGTGGAATCTTCGCGTCCCCTCCGCCCTGTGGGGGCACTGAAGGAGCGGGAGGCGTCGGGAAGGCACGCCCAGCTGGACGCTTCCTGTGGACAGAGAGGACGCCTGAGTCCCCTCCGTCCAGGCTGAGGTGGGGCTGTGACATGGGCCAGCGGGGCCAGCGAGGCTCCTTGGCGGGAGAAGACAATGGCTCATGTCCTGGGAGCCGAGACCCAGCACCAGTGCAGGCCAGGCCCACAATGGAAGACTGTCCCACTGAGGACAGGGAGACCCCCTCACTTTCCTCTTTAAGATGTTTTTATTGGGCTAAATTTATTTTAATGTATTCTTAGGGTTGAAATTAAATTTCTAAATTAAATTAAATTTTCTATTGTGGTTAAAACAGCATAGCCAGCATGGTGGGGGACCCCTGCAATCCCAGCACTCAGGAGGCTGAGGCAGGAGGATCAGTATGCATTCAAAGTCAGGCTGGGCTATGTAGAGAGACCCTGTCTCCAAAACACGAAAAATTCCACAGAACACAGTTTGCCCTGTCCGCAAGCGTTAGGTGTGCTGTTCGGCGGTGGTGAGCATGTTGTCACAGTGCTGTGCAGTCATGGCTGCCACGGCCCTCCAGACTGCGACTGGCTTCCCCAGTGGACTCTACCAGGAGCAGAAGCTCCTCTCCCGGCCCGGTCCCTCCTCCTCTCTGCGCACAAACGCACACCTCACAAAGATTCTCCTGCCTCAGCCTCCCAAGTGCTAGGATTACAGGCGTGCACCACCACACCCAGCCCTGCCGGTCCCAGTGAGCACCTTGCCGTGCACGCCAGGTTCCTGTGTACGGCTGAGGGGCGTCTGCTCCACGCTGCCATATGCCTACCGCGTCTGCTCATCTGTGGACGGTCCCTGGGCCATGCCAACCACCCTGCTGTGATGGGGCATCCATGGGGCGTCCGTGTCCCTGCTTCCCCACCAGGTCTCTGCCCCGCCTGGGTTGCTGGGTCGCACGGTGACTGTGACCTGGGACAGCACCACGCTGCCTCTGCGGGAGCCGCTCCATCTCTCACCCCGCGGGCCGTGTGCAGAGCTCTGATTTCTGCAAGTCCCTCCGCGCACCACCCTGGTGGGTGTGGGTGACTTTTGACTTTCCATGCTGCATAACTGTATTGTTCCCGTGAGTGGGAACAGCATGGAGATCAGCACCATAAGTGTGTGCTACCCGGGCACACTATGTAGTTCCATGCCTCACCACAGGTGTCTTGCTTTAATTGTGAAATTGGACGTGTGTTGTCCCACAGGGTCAGCCCGGGCCAGTGGGCCCCCAAGGCTTCAGCGGGCCGCCAGGACTGCAAGGATTCCCAGGGCTGCAGGGCCGCAAAGGTGACAAGGGCGAGCGAGGCGCCCCTGGGACGCCGGGACCCAAAGGAGACGTGGTAAGGCCATCGCTGGGGTCCTCTGCTGTGGGGAAGGGGGGTGTGCTGGCCCCGGCTAATTTGTTCTTCCTCCTCACAGGGCCCGAGAGGAGTTTCTGGATTCCCCGGCGCCGACGGAATTCCCGTAAGTGCTGGAGCCTGGCGGGGTAAAGGTTGCGTGTGCGGTGGCGGCACACGCAGGACCTGGGGAAGCGCTGGGAAGAGGCCTCCTTAGCTGTTTAGAACACAGCTCTGGGCGCGCTGTAATGGTTTTCCCTTGGATCCCGCGCAGGGTGGGGCGGTTTCCTCACCAACGCCGGAGCACCCGGGCCCCAAGTAGCACGGGGTGCTGGCACGAGCGTGGGGCACGCTCAGGAGGAGGGGTCGGTGTTGCGGGGACTTTGGACAGCGAGGGTGGATGGGACACAGCCCCTCATTCGAGCGGCCCAGGCCCCCTTGGGTAACCACACATAGCATGAGCAAGGGGAAAGGCACGGTCTGTTCATGAGAAAATCTCAAAATGCAATAAAATGTGTTTTTCTAACCTAGTTTACTTTACTTCTTGTGGCATAAAATAACAAACCAAACAGCCTGACTCACTGCATCCCCGCAGGGAGGCAGCGCACATTTCCCAGGCTGGACTCCCGGCCGGATCTGACCTCGGGATCAATGTGTTTATCGCGCGTCCTCGCGCCCTCCGCTGTCTGGGGCTGTGCTTCCAAGACGTCTGCTTCCTAACCTCACACGGACACACAGATGTCGGCCCTTAAGTGCGCATGCATCTGCTGCACTGCCACACGTGTGTGCACATATGGGCCCACCGTAAACACCCCGCACACACATCCACACATGCACACACAGGCAGTGCATGCACATGTGCACAGGCTCGCACATATATGCACACATTCACAGATGCACACGCTGGTGCACGCACATCCATCCACACTCCTATGTGTGTGCACACATCTGCACACACAGGCAGTGAGCAGTGAGCAGTGAGCCAATTAACGGAGGAGTTCGCACTTGCCTCACTCAAGGAGACTTCCGTAAGAGTAGAAGGAAGCAGAGAAGAGGAAAGAAGTCACGCTGACCGAGACGTCTGTGACGGGGACCTCGGTGTCACCTGCGGGTGGGCTCAGGCGGGACTCCTCACACCACAGGCCCAGGAGCAAGGAGAGAAACAGCTGTCATGCTGGGATCTGGAGACACAGGACAAAGACATGGTGGAGAATTTTTCCAAAGATGATGTAAAACCAAGTCACGGCTTTTAAACTTCGTTTTGATACTGGATGGGATGTCAGCTGGAAACTCGAAACCCTGGAGTAACAGTGAGAAAAAACGGAAACAAACCTGCCCCTCACGTTTGCTTACGTTTCTGCTGTGAGCTCTTCCGATTGGGAAGCAGATAGTTCACCACTTAGGGAGGAAGTAATCCCACTGCCCGGAGTGCGTGGGGCCTTTTCTACCTGGTCGAGGTGCTGCTCAAACTAGCTGACTGAGGTCATCTGTCTTAACTAGTCAGGTCACAAATGTGGAATTGGGGGACCCCTGTAATGTTAGCCATTTAGAAGTCATAAAAAGTGACACACCAGCCAAGCTGGCCGTCACACTTTATAGACCCAGTGGAGCTGGACGCTGAGCGATCCCTCCGTGCTTAGCTCGGTACAGGTTTTTCTTGGAAGCCCAATTTCAAGCTGAGGTCAGAGTGTCACATGACTATGGCAGGAGGCACAGTTCGGTTCCGATGAGAAAGTGCCGGCAGACAGTCCAGGGAAAGGATGAAGATGTAAGCGTGCGTTTTGGCAGAAGCATCACGGGACACAGAAGGTCTTGAGCAGGCGTCTTCCAGGGCTGAAGCTACGGAGCTGCCTCAGAGGTCCCAGGGAACTTCATTTCCAAGGCCCCCGAGCGCTGGCCCTGCTAACAGGTTGGGTTGTGTAGACAGCGGCCCGGGCACCCTCTGACTCCCAGAACCTCTCTGCCTGACTTCGAAGCGGTGATTTCAGCCTCTGAAGCAGAGAGCTGTGCAAATCGAAGAATCACACTTTCTTCCTTGTATTTCTTAACACCATCCAGGGCCCAAGGCCCGGGGTTGTAGGGTTTATTCGTTGCTCTTGAAATTTTCCAGAATTCTCAAAGGAAACCTGAAAGACATCTTACAGGTCTGCAAAATCTTCCTGCAGTGTATTATCAAGAAATCCAAAGCTTCAAAGAAATTGCACAATTGAAAGCACAGACTTCAGTATCTGTCTCCTGAAGAACAGGACGCCAGAGCAGGCCGCGGTCACGCCCTCACAGGAGCCGTGGATTACCAGCCTCGCCCGCGGTATCCGCAGAGCCAGATTCCTGCAGGGAGACGCCCGCACATCCAGCCTGGCCCACTCGGCTCCCCCGACGACTCCGAGCACGTACTTTACACTCAGGCTTCAAGCCTCCAAGTTCTCTTCCACGGGGGAGGACTCAGCCCTCCACATGGCAAGCAGTGGGCAGAACCGCCCCAGGGGTGTGACGCCCTGTGTCCGGGACGTGAGTCTCTTGCTTGCTGAAGTTCAGCTGGGCATCGCTGGAAACGGCCGCTGCCCCTGGGAGTTTCTGTAGAAGCCCGAGAGCTGCCCTTGCCCGTCCCTGTGCAACACAGCTACCCCAGGAGCTGGGCAGACGGCCCTGGGGTCTCCCTGCCTCCTCCGGTCTCATCTCCCACCCCCCCGTCTGTCCTGCCCAAGTCCTCTCCCCTGGCCTCTTGATAGCCTCAGCCGAGCTGGACACAGACAGCTGTTGTATGGCATGGTTATATGCACACTGGCAACCGCCTGGACTGAAGCGTCACCCGCTTTTCTCTTTCCCAGGGACATCCAGGCCAGGGCGGGTCCAGAGGGAGGCCCGGCTACGACGGCTGCAATGGGACCAGAGGCGACTCGGGCCCGCAGGGACCCTCCGGCTCTGAGGGCTTCCCCGGCTCACCCGTGAGTGGGGGCACAGGGTGGGCTCGGGGAGCTGGAGTGAAGGTGGACGCCTGTCTAGGCAAACGCAGGAAGTGGCTGTCGCCTGCACACCCCACTGCCCAGGCTGGGCCCCTGGAGGACGGTGTCTCGGAGCCCTCTCGGAGCAGGATACCTGCACTTGGGCACGGACAGGGGACCCCTCTCCCCGGGGCAGGTGGAGCCTCCTGTTTCCCCACAGCGCTCAGGGCCTCCTGGCCTTGGAATTGAGGGGCCATGCTCTTCCCTTCACCTGTGCTAGAAGCTGGGGGGTTGGTCCATGGCGTTCTCCCTCGATTCTCCCAAGAATCCCTCCCTGCTCTCTGTGTTGGACACCCCGACCCTGCTGTCCGTTAGTCCCCATCTGCACCCACGAGCCGACCCTCTGCGACCTTCAAGGAGGTCATATTCTCCCTGCGCGGTGAGGCAGGTGCACTGTAGGACTTCACTTTTCAGGGGAAGAACTTTTATGTAGTTAGCAGTTCTGTGGTCTAGGTCATTGTTTAGGGTCTGCGCAAAGAATCCTGACAAATTGTTGTGATACGTTGCTACCTTCTTACTATGAAAAGCTTTCATGTTCAGGGTTATACTAAAAAGTGGTTTATTAAGACTTTTCTTTTCTAAAACATTCTGAGGTGGGAGGACTCTAGGAGCAGCTTCCCTGTCTCCACGCTGCAGAGAATTTATTTTCCCAGCAGATCGGCCCACCTCCACCTCTCGGCCGCCCTCTTGTTAGATGTTTTTGTTCTGTGAGGTTCAGCTTTCCAGTCAGCTCATCCATTCCCAGTTCTGTCATAAATCTTATGACGAAGAGTTGCATCCACTTCTTTAAAATGTGGTGATGTGGTGATGCTATAGGAGGTATATAGACACGTATAGGTTCATCCTATCTGTACTGAACACAGTTCCAGTTTTAAAGAATGGCCTAGTATCTCCCCAACAATTGGCCTTATAGTGTTAGGACTAATGCCAAAGACAGCACCTAATTTCATTCCAAAGGAAAATAACGTAATGATATGCTAGAAGACAAGTTTAGAGAGGCTTCATTTGGGTTTTTGAAACTAAACTGAATCGCATAAAGCATTTCCATTTTAACTCTGGGGAAAGACACTGCTGGGTAAGTATGAAATCAGGCCTCACTCTTGGAATCGAACATAGAGGTTGGTGTTCAGGGCCACAGGAACAAGCAGATTTTGGCTACAAAGACTGATGCTTCATTGTCCAAATCACCATGGCTACACTGACTGTTAACAGACCTTCTTGTATTTCTTGTTTTATGAAATACCTGCTAATTTAGGGGCCCCAAGGACCTAAAGGCCAGAAAGGCGAACCTTATGCCCTGCCTCCAGAGGAACGTGACAGATACAGGGTACGTGGCTACAGGTGGGAGAAGAACCGAGCCATGCCCCGTGTAGGTTCCCACCCACATGCATGTTCTGTAAGGATGCATGCAGTAAAGGAATTCTTGGAGTAATGGAATAATCCAAAACTGCGCTTCAAGCCAGGTGTGGTGGCGCATGCCTGTAAACCCAGCATTCGGGAGGCTGAGGCAGGAGGATTGTTGTGAGTTTGAGAGCAGCCTGGGCTACAAAGTGAGCTCAAGGCCAGCCTGAACTGCATAGCAAGACACTGTCTCAAAAAGACAAAGAATAAGAATTAATCAAAATTGTGCTTCATGTAAAAATCATCATCTCCATCCGGGATGTTTGCAGTCTTGTGTTAGCTGGGGGTGCACCCTTTCCTGTATTTATGATGCCCAAGCCCCAAGCCAAATAGATCACCAAGTCTTGATAGGCTGGTTCATTTCCAACTCTCAGTGAAGCTAAATCTCCAAGTGCTCCGAGGTGCTAACCCTGAACCGTTGTCCTCCCCACCAGGGTGAAACCGGAGAGCCTGGGTTGGTCGGCTTCCAGGTGAGTTTGGTTTTTATTTTGATTAGAAATAGTCCAGGTGAGACGTTCAGAACTTCAGAACCCCGCCCTCGGGACCACCTCTCCTCTCAATGCAGTCTTGTTTCCTGTCCACAGGGACCTCCCGGCCGCCCCGGGCCTATAGGGCCGATGGGTCCAGTCGGAGCTCCCGGAAGACCAGTGAGTACCATGCACCAGCACACCTTCGGGCCAGCTCATCCGCAGGCACCGCTGCCTCAGCTGCTGGGCAGGAGAGCTCTGCAGAGCAACGGGCGCGGGGGTCCTGCGGCCCCTCTGTGACGAGCAGGCCTCCTTCCACGCGTGCTGCTCCTGCTGAGGGCTAGGGGAGGACTGGGGGTTGCAGTGGCCTGCTCACTGCTGGCTGGGTTCTGGCCGTGCCTTTGCAGGCGTGAGTATGCTCGCCTGGACCCATACCTGGCCGTGTGACAAAGGCCTGTCACCCTGGGCACAGCAAGCAAGTCCCACAGTCGGGAAGAGGACTTGGGCTCTTCCAGAGCGGGGCGTTGTGTGGCAGGACCAAGCCCAGCCCAGGCCAGTGCAGTGAGAGCACCGCAGGGCACAGCCCCCGGGACAGGCAGTGTCACAGCCGGGCGCCATGGCCACGCATGGCCCAGGCACAAAGAGGAGGCTGTAGCCACGCTGCACCTCCTCGCTGCTCAGCAGTGACTGCGCCCCCTGCACAGGGGAGGTTCCGGCCGGAAGTGAGGGCGCCCCAGACCAGGACAGGCACCCAGAAGGCTGTGCGTCCCATTCCACTAGAGCCTGAGGAGTGGGTGGTGTCTGGGCAGGGACCAGCGCCCTAACGTTTGGGCAAGGCGCGCACCATCTCCTTCAGACTATGATGAGAAGTACAGTTGTTCTTACAAAGCAAATTTCCTTGGTGCTGTGAAACCATTTCTGCAAGGAGCCCTGTCTCTGCACGCAGTCACCAGGTGGGAGACAAAGCGGTGTCCTTAGCTCTCCGCGGTGCCTGGTCGCTGGCTTCCTCCTAATTCACGAGCCTCATGACCTGGGGTTTTTACTCTTTAAAAACACACCACACTGCCGGGCATGATGGCACACACCTGTAATCCTAGCACTCTGGAGGCTGAGGCAGGAGGATCATTGCAAATTCAAGACCAGCCTGGGCTACAAAGTGAGCTCAAGGCCAGCCTGAGCATAGACAGACCCTGTCTCAAAAAAGACCAAAACAAAACAGAAAGCCCACAGCACAGGGAAACCTGAAGCAGGCTGTGTAGCTGACCTGCCAGCCTGAGGCCCCCACTGTCCGCCCACTGGTGTCACCCATGAACCACAGCGCTGCTCCGTAGATCAAGTCTCCGTGAGCATCTGGCGCCTCGTGGGGCCCAGAGGAACCGGGAAGTACAGCCAAGGCCACGGGGTGGGGCTCACAGAGGGGCACAGCAGGACACGGGTGACGTCGAGGCCCAAGCACCCAGGAGCAAACCCGGAGAGCCAGCAGGGCCAGCAGCAGGGGGGAGCTGCTGATCCGCCTGCCAGCTTCTCGTCCCGAGAGATGGGTTGGGGACCCCTGCGCCAGCTGTGCGGCATCCTGGATGGCACGTGGCTGCCCGGGGCTCCCAGCAGAGGTGCCGGGGGCCTGGGATGCAGAGGACAGCCAGCAAGTATCTCTGTGTTTGCAGGGACCCCCTGGACCGCCCGGGCCAAAAGGACAGCCGGTGAGTTGCCGGGACGGGGTGGGGTGGGGAGGGCCGGGCTGTGCATGCATGCTCTCACCCGACCGTGACTCCGCGGACAGCTGTGTGCTGTTTAGACTGTGCAGAGAAGCAGCTTGCATGTTTTTAAAACTTAATGGTCAACTGCAAGCCTGGGCCCAGGGCTGCGTCTACGACTCCTGGTCTATTCTGTATGTGTCTGTGTCACATGACCTACTGTGTACCAATCAAGTAGCACATTACTGTTGCTATCTGAATATCACACCAATGAATGTTTGATTAGAAATGTAGCATTTAAAAAAAAAAAAGCTGGGCATGGTGGCAAATGCCTACAATTCCAGCACTCAGGAGGCTGAGCCAGGAGGATTGCTGCAAGTTCGAGGCCAGCCTCCGCTACCCTGAGTTCAAGGCCAGTCTGAACTACATAGCAAGATGATCTCAAAACTCAAAAACCAAAAAAAGAAAGAAAGAGGAAAATGTTACATTTTCAGTAAGTGTGCAGTGGCACACACCTGTAATCTCAACACTCAGGCAGCTGAGGCAGGAGGATCTACAGAAGTTGAGGGCCAGCCTAGGCTACATGGTAGATTCAAGGACAGCCAGAACAACATAGTGGGAAGTTGTCTCAAAATAACAACGACAAACAATAGTAGCCTAGATCAACATAGAGACAGGTGTCTGTCCCCCGTTAACGGACGGGATGTGACTCTGCTTGTTATGGGGACACAGTGACGCCCTTCTTACCTGGGTGTAATCGGGTCCTGCAGAGCCTGAGGATGGGCCAGAGCTGGGCTGTTTGCCTCAGGGGTGGCTCCGGCTTGGTGGAGGCTCTGCCACCAGCTGGTCTGTCAGCAACTGAGAGGACAGAGCTGGAGTTCGCCGTGACCGGGGGAACCCGGACAGATGTCCACAGCAGGCGAGGCTGGCTGGGAAGGTTTGATCTGCCTGCGTAGAGTGGAAACCCTGCGGTGCAGCAGGAAGTCCAGGGGCCACGCTGACCCCGTCTGGATGGACACCACTGTGACCACCACCCCGGTGTCTGCTGGCCCGTCCCCGCCAACAGCGGGGCTTCTGGGCCCCGAGGCTGCCGGACCGCTCCCCGCTGCAGCCAGAGCAGCGGAAGGCGGCAGGGCCCGGCAGAGGAGCCTGGGCCTCAGATCTCGCCGGGCCACGGCAAGCCCACACAGCCCTCCTCGCCGCCAGGTCACTTCCTGTGGCCTTGGCACGGGCTCCGAGCGGAGGCGGGGTGCGGGGCTGGCGGCTCTGCCCCTGCTGTGCGGTTTCAGCCCCCGCCGGGTGGGGAAGAGGCAGCAAATGCTGAGTTAAGGGCTGTTTTTCCCCTGTGCTCAGGCGGGCTGGGGGAGGGGCAGGCGGAGGGCCTTGGCGACCCTGGCCCGCCTGGGAGAGAGTGGGCCTGGGAAGCGGCTGCTGCCCCCCACCTCTGCCCTGTGCATGGCTGCGGGGGGCCGGGAACCACAGCGCAGCCCACTGTGAGGCAGAAGGTGGAGGAGAGGCTGGATGGGCCCAAAGAATCATCCAAATCATGAAACTGATTGATTTTAAACCCCCTAAAATCATCAAAAATCTCAGAACTGTTTATGCGAAGTTAGACGAGCTTAGCACAGGGGCGAAAGAGAAAACGCACTGTGAGGGCCAGAATGCCACGGGGCAGCGCGCACCCCACCGCAGCCCGGCCCGGGCCGAGGCCACGCCGCGCAGCTGGGACCGTCTGGGTGTCCCAGCCCGAGGCCTCGCACCGGGCTGGCCGCGCCCCAGCCGGGGAGGGACTGCCGAGCGCCGCGCGCATGTGGGTCCAATAACGTCGCTCGTGGGGCGGTCTGGGTTTCTTTCTTCCTAAAAATATAATTGTAGTTTACTGTGATCCTTTTAAAAACTCACAAAAGCCATTTATCTTCCCAGGGCAACCGAGGACTTGGTTTTTATGGAGAAAAGGGTGAAAAGGTAAAGAAAACGCCGCAGGTTCTCGCGGAGGGGGCGGGCACAGCGACCGGAGCACTAGCCATTACGCTTCCAAGGGTTGTACAGAGGCCAGGGCGGCTGCCAGGGGGCAGCGCGGGTGCCAGGCTTTGACCCACTGCAGTGACAGTTGTGCCCAGGAAGTCGTGACCGAGACTGGCCGGGTGGCCAGGACCTCTGACCTGGGAAGACTCCACCCGCCTTCCACAGGGCAAGGGGAGCCCAGGTCGCCAACGGCTGTGCAGCCCCATCAGTTCTGAGCGATTGCAGGGGACTGTGGGGGGTGAAGACGTTCATTGCACAATTGCATTGTCCTGTGATGACTTCCATGTCATAATTATCGCAGCACAAAATGGGTGTACATGTGTTAGTATACAAAAACCGAAATAGCAGCATTGCGGTGGGACGGCGATGCCACGCCCGCGTGTGCCCTTCTCAGCACGCCCTCCGTGACTCCTGTGTAGATTAGTGTGCACTGTGCAGTAACACTCACTCCTCGCTGTGAGCCGGGGCGTGTGCATAACGCGTCTCCCTTCGCTGTACCTCTTCCCCCTGCACCTCTCGGCCACTTCCCACTGCAAAAGACCCGTCTCCGTCTTCTGTTGTCTGTCTTCTATTTTGTGCTTTAGTTTACTTATGCTTTGGGTGTCTCGGATGAGAAGCCATGGGATGGGTACGCTGGGTGTCTGATGTATCTCACCTAACATTGTGGTCTCAAGCTGCACGCGTTTTCCTACAGATGAGTCAGATTCACCCCTCTTTCTGGCAGAGTGGTACTCCACTCTGTGAAAAACCACTTTCTTTATCCATACATCTGTTGATGGACACACAGGCCGCTTCCAAGATGTGTTGTCATGAGCTGTGTGTTTCTTTCCACTTAAAACAACTGCTTCTGCTGTACCACACACAGGGCGACCAGGGCCTGCCAGGACCCAACGGGATCCCCTCGGACACCACCCACCCCGCTGTGGCACCCACAAGTTCAACCATCCTCCCGTACAAGGTAAGCGGGATGCCGGCCTCCTGGGTAGCCAGGAGAGGGAGAGAGAGAGGGAGAGGTGACTTCCTTCAGTTCTGTTCTGACGACCACATTCCGATCGCTAAAGACGTCACCAACAAATGGGTAAGTTGTACATAAACCACAGCCAGCCCCCCGGAATGTTCCAGATGCTTCCAGATAGTTCTAGATTCTGTGAGATTGCTTCAGTGGTCACACACTTACGTACACAGTTGAGATGAACTCAGGGCAGTGTGAGAATCCATTAACAACTCAGATCTGTCCCTCTGTAAGAGCGTCTCCCATGTGGACGTGGGTCATGGAGCCGGGATTTCAGGACACGCAAGCAGCGTATTATGTTCAGAAAACGAAACCCACTTGTCCTCCTCCTGCAAAGCACCTGACTGTGGGTTTTGTTTGTTTTCGGGTCGAGGTCGGTTTCCACGGCTTCTCCTACGCTCAGTCGAGCCTCCGTGTGGTTAAACACACACCCCTGGTCCCCAGTGGAAGTTAGCATTCCGCTGTCCCTGGCTCCAGACACTGCCCTATCCCCACCTGGCTCAGGCAAAGCGCCCTCTCCCTGGCCCCCTGCGCCCCTCGGGGTCAGGTGGAGGTGTTCAGGACAGCACAGACGGCCTGGGAGCAGACAGCGGAGGCCGTGTGTGGGGCGCACACACCACGCAGAAGCATGGAAAGCGCGTTTGCCCAGCAGAACAGAAGCCCAGCCCCAAGTATCAGTCACGGTGGAGCGTGAAGCCCAGCCACAGGGGCATTGGCAGGCAGGGCCCCCTCATGGGAAGGAAATCAACCCTGTAGCCGTGGCCCGAGTTGAGGGACCAACAACAGGTGTGGCTTCCGAGGTGGCCATGGGGCCTCCGTCCAAGGCCAGGGCAGAGTAGCCAGTGGACTGCTGCATGCCAGGCGCTCCCCCAGGGTCCCCTTCCACTACCAAGGAGGGGCGGCTCCCAGCGGCCTGCAGGGGCGGGCGCGTGCCGCAGGAAACCAACTGTTGTCCTAGGACAGGGAGACAAGGACCTGGCCAGTCGAGAAAAGGCAAAGGAACTGGCATTGCTTCCTGGAGCCACTTGGGCGAGGGTCCGAGTGTGTTCCCATGCGTCTTATGCAGAGAACCTCCAGAGTGTGCGCTGTGGGAGGATGAATGTTGTGTCAGGTGTGCGTCTCTGCCTATCCTTCCCTGGGGTCTCAAGGACAGCAGCACACGTGATGAAAAGACTCACTGTGTAGAGGCCCCACGCAGGGCAGGGGCTCAGGGAGAGCCGATCTAACACACAACCGCTCCCCAGCCCCCTCAAAAGCAGGATTTAATTTGTCTTGTGAAAATCTAGAAGAAATAATCCTTTTGTTCCATTCTGATTTTGAAGGTGCAAAATTTAGGCATCCTTGGTTGCAATTAATTTATTTATAAGATTACTTGAAGTCTTATTAAATACTTTCTGCATTTATAAGATTACTTGAAGTCTTATTAAATACTTTCTGCGTGCACACTGGGTCGATGTGTAGATACTGCCGGTCTGGAAGTGATGGGCCTTTCTCTCCTCTCCTGTTCCCCACAGGGTGAAAAGGGCAGCCAGGGAGAACCCGGGACAAAAGTAAGTCCAGTTGCAGAGACGCCGCTCCACCTGCGCCCGGTCCTCGGGTGGGCAGTGCATGGTGCTGGGTCTCAGCGGCCCGGGCTCCATTTCCCGCCTCCGGTCTAAGCGAGAAAGGGCTCTGAGCACCGGCCTTTCCCGGCACACCGCTGGCTGCTCCGCCCTTGCTGACGTTAGAAGCTGCCATTGTGCTGGGTGACTGACGGGCTGGGCCGGGGACAGCTGGCCTGGTCCTGGGCAGACGGCGGCCCCCCGGCCCTCTCAGCTCATCCCCCAGCCTGCCGCACTGTCCAGCTGTCCCTCAGCATCGCTTACCCCGTGACAGCGGCCTACGGCATCTGCATCCAAGCGCCTGCCGAATGGGTCACTGCGGAGGAAGCGGCTGGGCCGGGCTTGGCGGGCTGCAGCGTGGCCTGCAGGACCTGCGGCCTCACACCACTCCCTCTCTCCTAGGGCATCTCGTATAAGGGCGAAGAGGGGATCGTGGGCTTCCCAGGAACGCGGGTAAGCCAGGCTTGTACGGCCTAAGCGTCTTCTTCTAAGAGCATGTGTTTGCAATACACGGTAATTACACTCACCCTGGGGAGCCGGCCCACATACCTGCTGCGTCTTAGTCATTTCAGAACCACACGGCTGTTTGGTTTGGTTTTGCTTTTTAAATAGCATTTCTTTGATGAGAGTAGTTTCATCCCTAGCAAAATGCAGCAGAAGGACAGAGATTTCCTGTCGTCCCTGAAACACCCCCGCCCCACTCCATGCACACAGCCTCCTGCTGTGGGTGCCCCCCTCCTTGTCCGCTTAGCCCACAAACCTCACAGACTTGCCACGCCCCACTACTGAAGCTCTCAGCCGGCACCCCTCTGCTTGGAGGAGGAGGAGGAGAACTGTTCCTATGCTGTAGGCTCAGTCAGCCTTTGGTCCCTAAAAACCTGACATGGCTGCCCCAGGAGTCCAGCGAGGATGTCCCTGGACTGGAGCTCAACCCTCAGAGCCAGGAGCCCCAGGGGGCACCTCTGCTCTCAGCCCTGGCCAGCCATGGCCCCAGGATGCGTGGTGGGCAGAGCCCGGACCGGGAGGAAGAGACCAAGGGCTCCTGGTGACCATGTGATGGTCACACCTACGGTCACACCTGTTTTACAGTGTCCACAATAAGAGGGGAGAGACTTCTTAGACGACAACTGCCCACATCTTTCTGTATCGTGTGGGTAGCTCCGTCTTCTTTAATGGGTGGGAGTTACACGCTGTATGAAACGTGGTTACCATGATTTCTATCCTGTGGAAAATCCGAGTCCCCAAATGGTGGCTTTGCTCTTCTGATGAGGGGGGTGCTTCCCTTTTGCCTCATCATAGTCCCCTCTTGCTGGCACCCCCGCCCCGGCTGCCAAGGGGAGGACTGCCCTTGCTTGTTGCTGCTTTCCAAAGTTACCAGCCCAGAAGTTGTTTCCGTGCTCACTGGCACCATGGCAAAGCCCTCTGGAGAGGTCTGCTGCGTGTCTGAGCTGTTAATCATCTCTGTCTTCTGTTCCAACAGGGGCCTCCGGGCTTAGATGGAGAGAAGGGATTCCCAGGACAGAAGGTGAGTGCTGCAGGGGGTCCGCTCCTGGGGGCCTCACAGGAGGTTTCGGTGTCGAGGGACAGAGCACACATCCTCAAAAAAGCATGTGACTCCCCTACACTCAATGGCACGAAGAGCCCTCCCCAACCCTCCGCACACCCAGCCGGGCCGCCACCTTCTTCCCTGTCCCTCCCCCAGCCCAGGGCCTCACACCGCTGTCACCGAGGTCACTCTTAGGAAGGTCTCGGCTGGTGACAGGGTTTCCGCCTATATTTTTTATAGATTGACCCACTTTTTGGCACTTTATGTGCGGCGTTAACCCACCATGTGTTCTGTGAACAGATTTGGGGCTTTTCTGGGAAGGAATTTGAGGGGAAGGATGCACTCAATGGGCCGGATATGGCGGTGTTGAACCCTAGCCTGCGTGAGCCGGGGTCTGAGCCGGTGGTGGATGAAGATCTGTCCACTTCAGCATCGCTACATTTATGGTTTCAGTCCTAAACCTGAGGACGCTCGCCCTGCCCCCAAGGGCCAGAACCCTGGCTGGAGTCCACCACGCCTGGCCCGTGGGTGCAGCTTCAGATCTGCACACAGACCAGGGGTGGCTCTGCACACATGGCAGTAAACGCTTGCGCTCCTCTGCCCAGCGCTCCGCCCAGCCCACTCCAACGGTTCCACGCAGCGCCAGCGTCCGCCTCTTTCTGCCTCAAGCCACGGAGCCACGGGACAGGGACACGCACATCCTCGCCCCTTGGCGGTGCCCACCCCCAGCCAGCAAAGCAGGCCCCATGCAGCCACGGGCAGCATCCCCACCCCATGGTGCGGCAGATGCACAGAAGTGGGTGCTTCCGTCACAACTCCCTAATCCCTGCGTGAGAGCCAGGCAGGCCGTGGGAGCAGCTCTGAGCCCAAGGGCTTCCTGCCCGGTCACCCAGGGACAGCACTTGTCCTGCACACGCCACTGCACCCTGCAAAGCACCAGGCCCAGCTGTGGGGACCCTGGGCTCTGGACTTGACCACTGACCATGCAGACCCACTGGCTGGCTCCCGGAAACTCGCTGATCTTACGTTCGCCCCTGCCCTTTGACCCCAGCTCGGGCCACAGACCCGACGCCAGCCTTGCCCTCAGGACTCCGACGTTCCATGCCAGTCACTGTGGGTTGGGACATTCCCAAAGGTAGCACAGCTGCCCACCCTGTGCCTGGCAGAGGCCAGAAAGTTAGATGCCAGCTGATGGAGGACAATAAGCAAATCTCGTGACGAGACAGAGGCTAAAGCCAGCCCTGGCGTTCGGAAGCCGTCGTCCCCCGCTCCTGGGCAGTAAAAGAGCAGCTGCCAGCCTCTCGATGCCCGTCCTGCGCTGGCCGACTCGGCCTGACTGTCCGCCCTTCTGCCTCCAACACAGCGGAGCCGCCGTGACCCCTACAGCTGGGGCCCAGAGCTCCGTGAAAGACCCGGGGTTCTGGCTGCGGCCCTGGATGCCCTCGCCGGGCACAAGGATGGTGCCTCAGCCGGGCTGCTGCCGGCATGGCTGGGGAAGACACAGGCTTCAGCGGTCACCCAAGTGGGTTCAGGGGAACCGTTTGCTTGGCTGTGGGAGGCAGAGCCGTGAACCCTGCTGCTGGGCTTACAGAACTCCAGTTAGTGCTAACTTTTCCCAAAAGGGAGTCAGGAACTGTCTTGTGGACTTGGCTATTTTAAGTCTAAAGAAAAAAATTAGACATTATTCCCCCCCCCTTTTTTTTCCTTTTGTTTTGTTTTTGAGTCAGGGTCTTGCTATGTAGTTCACTCTAGCCTTGAATTTACTATGTAGCCCAGGCTGGCCTCAGACTCACAGAGATCATCCTGCCTCAGCCTTCCCGATGTGAAATTAAAGATGGACACCACCACACCTGACTTTCCTTCCTTTTTCTAAGGTGAACATATTCTTAGTAACTGAGCTTTTCACAGCCTGGAGTTACTGTGAAGGTAACTGAGCCCTGGTCCCCTTGGAGGACACAAGCCCTCTGGTGTCAGCAGGATGACGTGCACCTGTCGGAGCTGCCTGGGACTCCAGGAAGTGCATGGCCCCGCGGCAGAGATAACGGGACTGTCACCAGGTGCACGCTCAGACGGTGGCTGCAGCTCAGGGCAGCAGTCGTCCGGTGGCATGCACAGTAGCATGGTTCCGGCCGGGTCCCCAGCACCCAGTCCACGTGCCCTGCAGGCCAGCAGGGCTTCTGTGAGGCGAGGCCTCTCCTCCGAGGCACCGAGCTCTGCCCAACCTGACCCCGTGTGCGGCCGCTGCATGGGACACAGCCGCGTGACCCGGGAGCTGCTCCAGCCCTGGGAAGGGTGGCTCCCCCGAGGGCCGCTCTCCCTGCTGCCTGCTCCGCCGCTGCCTGGCCATTCCCACTTTGGCGCATTTCTGCCCGCCAAAACATGAAACTGGCTGCTGCACCTTGTGTGAGAAAAAGTCGCAGCGTGCACCCAGGCCTCGGACAGGAAACAACCTCGGCGCCCCGCTCGTCCACACCTCCCGGCCCTGAGCTCCCGGGGCCCGCAGCCCCTAGATAACAGACCCACAGAGCTCGCGTCACCGCATTGGCCAGAGAGGCACCGAGCTGGGGGCCGCGCCACATGAGGCCTTCACAAGAGGGACAAAGGTCGGGGTTTCGGAAAGCGGTGCAGGGCTGCCGCACAGCTGGATGAGGCGCCTCACAGGCCTTTGTTCGAGGCACGACCACGGGGTTGAGAGACAAAGTCAGGGTCAGCAGTGGTTTTTTGTTAAGGAAGAGAAAATAATCGCCGATTAAGAGGTTTTTTGGTTTTAACTGGAAGTGTGCAAAACCCGTCTTGGGGGAAGGTCTCAGCCATGGACCTGGTGCCAGCGCCTGGCCCAGTGTCACTCAGGAGGACGCTCACGTGGAGCGTGGCATCTGAGACCACGGAGTGAGGCCCAGGAAGGCCGGCCGCCCTCGGGAGCAACTCGACCTGACCTGGGGACCACAGCACCGAGGGGAGAGCCACTGCAGATGATCCAGTTTCCAAAGCAGGAACAGTAAAAAGACAGCACAGACGGGGAGGACCTGACCTGCGAGAACGAGACCCGCCTCGGCTAAACCCGAACTTGGACTTTGGCTCCTGGTTTAAGCAAAGGAGCTTTAAAATGGCGAATTTCACTCTGGGCACACGGGGGCGGTACGGGGTTTTGCTGAACTGTTGTTAACTTTATCACAGCTCTTTTAATAACCACGTCACGGTCACTTTCTGAGGTTGTCCACTGAGATACAAGTAAAACGTGCGCATTTGTCTTGCAGGGAAACAGAGGCCTGGATGGCTACCAAGGCCCCGACGGAGCCCAGGGATTGAAGGTGACCGGTGCCTCCCTCTTCCCTTCCTACGGTGTCCTGCACCCCTGGGAGGGGACGCCCCGCCCAGCAGTGCTACGGCATCACGAGCACTGCACCACCTGGGCCAAGGAGCTGGGTGGCAGCTGACTAGCTGTGTGCTGTGTGGGGTTCCTGGGGTGCAGTGGGGTCCCCTGAGCAGAGGGGACCAGTGGGCTCATGGGCCTGTAGCCACAGGACGGAGGTACCGGTTACCCAGGGGCGATCAGGACAGCGCTCTGCTGCCCTGGAGTCTGCGTCCAGCTTTGGTGCCGGAAGTGTGCACACTGTCCACGCCCCTGCCATTCCCAAGCTCTTCCTCTCTTTCCAGGGAGAATCAGGTGACCCCGGACCCCCAGGACCACCCGCCTACTCGCCTCATCCGGCCCTGGCCAAAGGTTCGTAGGGGCAGCTTCGGAGAGACGCAGCACACACACAATCGCTTCTGTTGGGCAGGGCAGGAGCTTCCGGCGCAGATTTGCAAAGCAAAGCTAAGGTCCGGGGACAGAGGCCAGGACGCCCCCGGTGGCTTGATCTGGCTCTGTGGAGCAGCACTGCACCCCCCAGATGCCCCCACCGCCCCACCCCAGACACCCTCCTTTATGCTGGCGTCGAGAAGCTCGCTAAGGACCCACCCCAGCCTGGGGAGGCCCTGGGGTGTCTCCTCCTCATCCCCGGGACCCCCGCACCCCCAGATCTGAAGCTGCTGGAAGGGCTGGGGAGACTGGCTTCCCCTGCTCAGGACTAGTGACCCCGGTCAAACGGAAGTCATCCCGTTGAGGCTTTGGGCACATGATTTTGAAACTGATGGTGGTGGTGTATCTTGCACCTTTTTCAAAAATGTCCCAGACAGGGAGCCCGGGGTTCATTCATTCAGCTCCTCCCTTTCCACCATACTCCGTCCCTGGGCACCCCCATAATCCCTGCCGAGACAGGAGGAGCGCCGTGAGTTTGGGGCCACCCTGGACTGCATCATGAGAGTCTATCTCAGAAACAGAAACAAAGAAATTTTTTCAGTTTTTTGGGTTTTTCGTTTCGGTTTGGTTTGGGTTTTTGTTATTTAGTTTGTTTGTTTTGAGGCCGGGTCTTGCTGTATGGTTCAGGCTGCCCTTGAACTTGCTTATACAGCCCAGGCTGGCCTAGAACGCAGGTGATCCTCCTGTCCCAGCCTCAGTGCTGGGTTACAGGCATGCACCACCACCTGACCAAAAAAATAATAATAATGGCCTGGCCAGACCCCCCCCCAAAAAAATTAAATAAATGGCACCTTTCCCGGCATGTGGATGTGGCCACGCCCCCTCCCTCTTCGCTGCTGGGACCACCTTTGGCTGCCCTGGGCTGGAACGTGGCTGAGCTGCATTCTGGCGTGTCCTGGAGTCCAGGTCGCGCTGAGCAGCCGCCTGCAGGCTGTTAGGGGAAAGGGTCCCTGCGGTCCTTGCAGACCACGTGTCCTGCGTGAGCGACTCGCATGCCCAGGTTCCGGCCGTGACAGCTCTCATCCTGGTGTGGGGCGTGTCTGTGTTCCAGGTGTCAGAGGAGACCCAGGATTCCAGGGGATTTATGGGGAGCCAGGAAGCAGGGGCGTGCCAGGAGACCCCGGCCCACCAGGCCTGCCCGGCCTGCCCGCCGGAGACCACGGTAAATGGGGTTTCCTGCCTGAGAGTCACGAGGGTGAGGGCAGGGCTTCCCCAGTGTGGCATTCCTGCCCCCCACGTGCCACCTGACCCTGGCCCTGAGTGACAGGGAGATGAGGGGATTTATTTGGGGTTTTGGGGGGTACCCAGAGCCTGGAGCATGCAAGGCCAGTACCTCTCCATGACCCCGAGAGGGCCTCAGGGAAGCTGGCAGGTGGTGATGCCACGTAGCCTTGGGGTACCGGCCGGCCTGGGCCCCAGGGCTACGGTGGCCTCACCTCCCCACCCCCACCCCGTGGTCTCCATGCCTCAAAGAGGAGGCGCTCTGATCCCCCCGGGTTTCAGGTGACAGAAGAGGCCTGCTCGGCGAGATGGGACCCAAAGGCTTCGCTGGAGAGCCGGGCATCCCCGCACGCACGCCGGGCCCAAAGGGCGCTGATGGAAGGCCAGGCCTGGCAGGACCCCCCGGGCCTGCCGGGCCCCCCGGACCAGACGGTGAGTGGGCGACAGGGCGCGCGCAGTGTGGGTGGTGCCCGCCCGCTACGTTTCGCTTGGGTTTCTGTGCCGGTGGGTTCCAAGCAGACCCGTGGGCTGATGGGTGAGGGTGTGGCTGCTCCCGGGCCCCGTGGTAGGGTGCAGGGCGCTCCCCGAGTGAGAGGACGAGGCCTGTGTGCGCTGGCCCTGATGCCCCGTAGCCTGTGGAGAAGAGCACCCCGCCCCCGGCCTCCATGGCGATGTCCTGTCCAGGCACGGGTGTGAGCTCACCTCGCACTTCTGGCGTCCACGCCATCATCGTCCTCGTGGTGGGCCCAGGCCCCTCCTCTGGCCTCGGGGGCTCACCCCCTCCCCCGTTAGCCGTGCCTTCAGCAGACCTGGTGCTCTGCTTTCCACACTCGTCACAGCCCGAGCACACAGAGCAGGCGCCCGAGGCTGGTGACAAAGGACAGCTGCACAGCCTACATCAGAAGCGTGGGAACTAGGCCGGCCGGAGGTGGTGCATCCGGGGGCCACCCCCGGGCGTTTCCCGTGGGCTGGAGACCTGTCTTTACTGGGTGGCCCTGTGGAGGAGGTGGGGAGTGGGTGTGCGCCCCAGCTTCAAGCGCAGCCTGCGGAGCTGTGCTTCGGAGGTTGTGAAGGCCCTCAGGAGAACATTTCCATCCTGAGCAGGGAGGGTGGGGCGTTCGGGCAGTGAGAGGCCCCAGGGCACCTTCCTTTGACCCTGGCCAAAGCCAGCAGCCTCTCCCCTCAGTGCAATTCATTCTGCGTCCTCGGGCAGCACCCCAGCCGTCTCAGCCTGCTGCAGCAGAGAAGACGCCATATTTAGAAATGGATAGTGTTGGATTTCAGTCCAAGTCTGAATTGAAGCCCCCGTGTTTTAGTTGCTCTGTGGAGGACACTTCTTGCCATCTCTGGGTGGGGAATCCTCAAGGTGCTAGAAGTCTACTGCTACCCTGTTGTTCCTTTAAAATAGTCCGCAGTCACTGCTCTATTTCTATGTCGTACGGTCAGTTTTTAACTTTCCAGGGTTCCGCTTTCTCCATTGTCTTTCAGCTAGAAAAGCCACATCCCACATTCTTTTGAAAAGTTTCCAGTGCTAAGGGCTGGGGATTTAGCTCAGCGGCACAGCGCCTGCCTGGCAAGCGCAAGGTCGTGAGTTCGATTTCCGGTACCAGAAAAAAAACAAAAAAAAGAAAGAAAAGTTTCAAGTGCAGAGAGTCCCATGTCTTAAGTTTGCCAATTGGTGTGAGCAGCTTATCTTTGACGCATTTCGTCGCTGGATGTGTCTCTCGTGCCGGAAGCCACACTCTAACGTGACCAGGGCAGTGACAGCCAAGATTCCATGAGCCGTGTCCTGGCTGAGTAGCATCCGCCGATTTTCCTTTCTGGAACAGAGCACGTGTTCGAAATAAAAGCTGAGAGGTGCGCCCCTGTGACAGAAAACTACCTGGGCCATCCTTCCTGTCCCTAAACTCCACTTGTTAAAGGCAGAAGCACACACCATCTTGATGCATAAACCTTGCTTAGCATCTGTGATTTGCCAACATAAGTCAACCGCAAACCACATAACTTATTTCCGGTCCATATTACAGACTTGTGAGTGAATGTATAAAATAGGTGAAATGGCATCAGATGGTTTATCAACCATAAATTTGTGAAGTGTGCCGATTAAGCCCTCACGTGTACGTGGATACATTTGTACTTCTCTGACCACTGTGAGAGCACCCCTTATGCAAGGGCAGCCAACCCTCATGGTGCTTCAGCAGTGCTGTGTACTGTCCTAATTCAGTATCCGTGGGCGTGGTGGCGCAGGCCTGTAATCCCAGCACAGGGGAGGCTGAGGCAGGAGGATCGTTGCGAGTTCGAGGCCAGCCTGGGCTACAAAGTGAGCTCAAGACCAGCCTGAACTGCAGAGCGAGACCCTGTCTCAAAAAGACCAAAAAAAAATTCAGTATCCGTGATCTGGATTCCCATAGAGTTCGGCCTTTTCAGAAAGAAATGCACGGATTCCCAGCAGATGTACCCCTCCTGTCCCAACGGCCCTTACTTAGTCTTCCGCGGCCCTGGGAAACGGGGCCTTGAAGTCAACTCCTTCCCGCGGGAAACGCCGTGCCCCCCGCAGTCCGGGCTTGGGGGTCCGGGTCTCTGCTCTTCCGGGGTGAGGGCGCAGAGGCGCCGCCTCCTGCGGGGCGGGCTTGCAGTGATGCGTGAATCAGGGAAGAAAAGAGCTGGGACAAACCAGGGGGTCAGGGCCGCACGGGGAGGAGCAGGGGGAAGTGAGCGAGACCCGGGGTGCGGGCGGCGGCCCCTCGCCTTCCCAGGCTCGCGCGGCCTCCTGACGCGGTCCCGGCGCCCTCTCCCCCGCGGCATCGTCTGCCGCCCTCGGCCGATCCGACTCGCGCGGGGCTCGCGTGCAGGGGCTGCGTTCGCTCGCAGGAGCGCGGCCACTGGTGGGTTAATTGTGGGCGCCCCGCCGGCCACCACCAGAGGGCACTGTCCCCCAAGGCTGCCGCTGCGCGGGCAGCATAAGAGCGGCAGGTGTGCGGGTCGCCTGGATGTGCCCCGCGGATGACACAGCGCTGTGGCCACGATGACGCTGGGGAACCCGATGCTTGCGGGGTAGGGCCCTCCAGCGAGGCTGAGCGCGCCTGGTCCTGTTGGGCGTGTGCGTGTGTGTGTGCGTGTGTGTGTGTGTGTGTGTGTGCGTGTGTGTGTGTGTGTGCGCGCGCGCATACAAGCGCACACGGCCTGAGCTGCGAAGGTGCGGGACGCCAGAGCCGGGACAGATGCGAGCGGGTGTGCCTGGACTGAAACCTGTAGTCACCTTGGAGCGCGAGCTACACGGGTCTGTCTCCGCCTTCCTCGGACTGGGTCAGCGGGGACCCTGGGCCAAGAACCTGCCGGGCCGGGACACCGCACCCCGGGGTGAGCACTAACGTCTGCGCTGTCGGTTTCTCTGCAGGCTTCCTGTTCGGCCTGAAAGGAACACAGGGCAGCCGGGGCTACCCAGGGCATTCCGGCTTCCCGGGGATGCGAGGGCAGAAGGGATGGAAAGGTGAGGATCTGCACAGGTGGGGGCGGGGAAGGCAGCACCCGGCCTCCAGAGCGTTCATCTGCCCCTAGGCCTGTTTCACATCCCGCTCAGCATTCCTAAGCCACAACCCACAGCTTTCTGAGTGCCAGCCTCACCACCAGTACGAGATGCCACAACTGACCCCGCAGGACAGGCAGGCCACAGTCAAAACACAGATGCACAGAAATAGTGAGCAAAGTTAACGTGCACACCTGTCATCCCAGCCCTCAGGAGGCTGAGGCAGGAGGGTGGCTGCGAGATGCAGGCCAGCCCGGCTACCTAGCAAGACCTTGCCTGTGTGCAGACACGACGCGTCTTCTCCCACGCTCTGCAGGTGACACCGGGGACTGCAGATGTGGCGGAGATCAGTTCATCCCTCTTCCAGGGCTGCCAGGACTCAAAGGTTTCCCAGGTGCCAACGGGGAGCCCGGCAGAAAAGGGGAGCCAGGAGACCCAGGCCAGCATGGCATCCCTGGGTTCCCAGGGTTCAAGGTGAGAAAGCAGCGCCCTCTTGTGGCCATATTTAGTAGGCTCCCAGGCCGGTGTTCCAAGGACTTCTGGCCAGCAAGGCAGGGGACCCCGTGCACTGACGGTCAGACCAGTGACCCCAGCATTCTAGGAGGCAGAGGCAGGAGGACCGCAAATTCCAGCCCAGTCCAGGCAACTTATCACCTTAGCAAGACCCTGTCTTAAAATAAAAATGGAGAGGAACTGAGGGCGCAGCTCAGCAAGGGGCTCTGGTTCAATCCCCAGCACCTCCCCCCAAAAAGCCACGTGTTCCAGGGTGAACTTCACAGACTCTCGGCGCGGCCACTGTGGAAGAGAGCCGGCCTCGCGCATCCTCAGAAAGTTAGACCCGGTTAGCTCCCCACCCGGACGTGCCACTCCCGGGTGTGAGCTAAAGCCACACCCAAGAGAGCTGTGAGCTAAAGCCCAAGAGAGCTGTGAGCTAAAGCCACACAGCTTGCAAACTGTCGACCCACGGTGTCCGCGCCCTGGGACCTCACCGTGACGGGCTCCGTGGACGTGCTGCGGTGCCGTGCGGAGTGGCACGAGGGGTCCCTTTACTGGGTGATGAAAGTGTTCTACAGGGCTGGGGGTATAGCTCAGTGGCACAAGCGCCTGCCTGGCAAGCACAGGGTCCTGAGTTTGATCCCCAGTACCACAAAAACAAAAAACAAAGTGTTCTACAGTTAGACACCAACGGTGATGGCGCAACCTCGTGGAAACGCTAAACCCACCGGATTTTATGCTTTCAGTTGGTGAATTTGTGGTCTGAGTTACATCTCAAAAAACACCCTGCTAGCGTTTTGAACGTGAACATGTTACCGCCTGGGCATTCGCTTCCAGTTTGAGCACTGAATGAAGGCTTCCCTAACCCGTCAGAGAGTGAGACCTCCAAGTTCATGTGAAGCCGTTTTGTAGGACTGTGTGAGTTCCCTGTCCTAGGTCCCTGGAACAGACCAGCTAAGTGGCCGGGATGCAGGGTCCCTCCTCCCAGGGCCGGCTCAGACTAACCAGAGCTCCCAAAGCCATTTCAGATGTGGGCAAAGCAACTATACGTTTTATCTTTTTAGTGTCAAAGAGAACTGCAGGAGAAATATAAAGCCAGAAGCCTGTCGTGTTATATATCCAGCAATAAAGAAAAAGTTCGCTCAGGCCACTCAGCCAGGGGCACTCTGGGAGATCTGACTCAGGAAAACTGTGGCCACGCGGGGCTGCCAGAGTCACCAGGCTACCGTGTCCTGGGCTTTCCCAGAGAACAAACAGGAAAACACAGCAAAGAGTAGCAGTTGCTCGGTTTTATCATAGTTTAACAACTGACATCATCTCCAGACCGTGGCTGCTGAGCCATACCAGGTGCTCAGGTTTCCAGAAGGAGCACAGCACACGAGGACGACGCACTCCGCCGACAAACCTGGCAGTGGCCTCGGCACTCACGGCGCAATCGGCAGCTTCCCAGAGCCAGAGGGCCCCTTTCTTGTGCCCAGCCGCCCGAGTGTCCCACGTCACACCCACGCCCTCGGGACTCTGTCAGGCCTCTGCCTGTGTTTGTCGTCCTCTGTTTCCGTGTATGTTTGTGTGCCTGGCAGCCCCACTGCAGTACCAATGCCTGACTTCCTTGTAATTGTGGCTTGTCCTTTGGTTTGCTTTTAACGTTCGTACTGCTGGTGTGTAAAATGCAGGCGCTGACCAGTAAGTAAATTCACCGCCCATCCGCTGACCAGAGCGCATCTGAGCGCCATCTGTGTGCGAGAGGCTAAGAGAATGTCGCCCTTTCCCACCAAGAGCCAAATCAATACATCAAGCCCCTGTGGAATTTCTGAGGCGAGAGCTGGCACTGGCACGCAACATTCCGTTCCCTGGGGCCCAGGTTCCCCGCTCCCGACTCACAAACACTAAACGCAGTCCCACGCCGGCCGATGCACATCTGTACGCCTCCGCTTTGAATGTCCCGGCAGTGGCTTCTTCCTCGTATGTTTTCCTTCACCTTAAATCACTTTGCAAAGGAAGGTGTGGGTGAAATGTAGTCCTGTTCTCGACGGTGACCGACCACGGATTTCAGCGCGTAGGCTTGCGGGCTCGTTGCCTGCCTGCACCTCGGTGACTGTAGTCAGGCGTGAAGCCACCTTGTGTTTGAGTGCAGTGCTTCTCCGCATCCAGGGGACCTTTGTGAAGCGCTGCCACAGTCCGCTGCTCAGGGCGGGGACAGGGCACCTGCCTCTTGCCCCGGCCTCCAAGTGGTGGTCAGGGCGCCCGCCCAGGCGTGGAGTTCGGAATAGTCTAGGGTACTTCTACTACGTTTTAATTACTTGCATTTTAAAGATAATTGAAAATCCAGTTCCTCGGCCCCACCAGCTCAATCCCAGGGCCTAATGTCCACCGGCCCTACGGCCACTGGCAGGACACAGCATTCCTGGCCTTGTGGAAAGTTCTTCGGGGCCGCTCTGGGCTTGGGGACAGGTGACAGCCACATACCGTGTGAGCCGCAGAACCTTCCATCCCTGGCTGGAGGAGGCACACACATCCACGTGCTTGTTTCTGCAGGGAACCCCCGGCAGCGTCGGAGCCCCGGGCCCTAAGGGAGCAAAAGGCGATTCCAGGATGGTCACCACCAAAGGTGGGTGCTTGGTGGCCGGCGACTCTGGGGCTGCTCGGCCTCCTGCGAGGTCCGTATGCGTGGACTCACACGCAGACCCTTTGCAGGCGAGAAGGGACAGCCTGGTGTCCCCGGCCTGCACGGCATGAAAGGTGACGACGGGACCCCCGGCCGTGACGGTCTGGACGGCTTCCCCGGCCTTCCGGGCCCCCCTGTGAGTAGCGCTCTCCTCTCCGTCATGCGTGATCGAGGGCGCCAGGGCCTCGGGCTCGGCACGGGAGCGCGGCACGCGTAGCACAGGAAGGTTCTGTCTTAAGGGAACGGTGAAAGCACGAGGACTTGGTTTCAGGAATGGCAGTGAGTCTCATGAAAGCCACCTGAGGGCACGTTTAGGTCGGAGATTAAACATCCCTCGTGGTGCGACGTGGAGCAAGCCCTCAAGGGCAGAGTGCTCTGCCACCGGCAGCAGATCCCAGCTCTGCCTGTGTCCACGGTGGGCCCCACGCAGGTTGGGACTCAGCGTCAGTGGGGAGGCAGCCTGCACGCCCTTCCTGCACCCCTTCGCAAGATTCCTGGCCACTCTGTCTCGGGCCCCGCAGCCCGCACCTCTGCCTTCCTGTGGGTCTCGTCTCCTGGGATGGCTATACACCACACGGTGTCCTGTGGCCGGAGGACTCAGGTGGCTCTGTGATCTGCTTCTTAAGAAGCCTGTCTGAGCCAGGTGTGGGCAGCCTGTAATTCTGGGGCGTGCACTTCGGCGGCTGAGGCAGGAAAATTTCGAGTTGGGGGCCAACCCGGGCAACGTAGCGAGACACTGCCTCAGAATAAAATTTGCGCAGGGCCAGGCTGGGGCTCAGTGGTGGTGCTGCCTGGCCCGTAGAGCCAGGCGGGGGCCGGTGGCCCTGCTCTGTCCCAGGGACGGGTGGAAGGCGGGGCTGCTTGTGACATTGGTCTTATTTTGAGATAACCTGGAATTTCTCACAGGGCGATGGCATCAAAGGCACCCCAGGAGACGCTGGTTACCCGGGAGTTCCTGGAGCCAAGGGTGTCCCAGGAGAGATGGGACCCCCAGGACTGGGCTTGCCGGGCCCCAAGGGCGAGCAGGGCTTCCCCGGAGACGCAGGGTTCCCCGGGCCCCCGGGCTTGCCCGGTCCTCCCGGCCCCCAAGGCAGCCCAGGACAGACAGGTATGAGGGAGCTGCCCTGCGACTCCCCGGGGTGCAGATCCTGGCCAGGGCCCCCCCATGCTCTGCCCACGAGTGTCCCCAGGAGTCTGGCAAGGACCCGGCACTGCCGCACTGGTGCTAGGCGTGTGGGACAATACCCACAGGGCTTCCTGGCCCGCCCCTGCTCTCCTGGACACACAGGCTTCAGCCTTCAGCTCCCTGCCTTCAGCTCCCTGGTCGCCTTCAGCTCCCTGCCTGCACCCTGGCCTGCCCAGAACCCCGCTCACACACACACTCGCACTCACGCATTCATGCACATGTGAGGCGGGGCGTCCCGCAGTTCCCAGCCACCTCACCTTTCCCGGTGTCTCCCCAGACTGTGACACAGGCGTGAAGAGGCCCATCGGAGGTGACAGACAGGAGTCCGTGCAGCCAGGTACGTTGTGGAGGGAGGTGGCCCAGGCCGGCACAGCGTGGACTCGTGGCAGCGGGCAATGCCCAGAAGTGGCCAGTGTCGTCTGCTTCCGCCCAGAGTCGAGGGACGGGAAGACCCCAAGTGCTCGTCCTCGAGAGGCGCCCACAGACAGACACGGGCTGCCCTGCGCGGTGCCGGGTGAAGCCGGCGGTGCGCTCACAAGAGACTGGCCTGGGTTTGTCCTTGCGGAAGGCGGGGCCCGACTCCGCTCACGGGGGAAAGACGAGGATTCTGGCCGGGAGTGGACACCAGGAAGGACCAGGGGATGGGGGGGGGCACAGGGGTGCGAGTGACAGGAGGGGACCACGAGCTAAGGGCCACAGACAGGCGAGGGGCGAGCCCGCGGGGTTGTGGAGACAGAGGAGGGGTTTCCAGCTCAGGCGCTCGGCCCCGACGCTCCCGGCTCTGGGCAGTGGGTGTGCAGCGCAGGCGAAGGCCGGGCTGGAGGACGGTGCGGGGAGTGCAGGGTGCAGCTCTGAGGCCCCGGGAACCGCAAAGCAGTGTGGCCACAGGCTGGGCTGGGGCTGCCCAGCTGCAGTGGGGACATTCTGCACGGAAAGACGCCTCACCTCTGGGGTCCACCGCGCTCAGAGTGGTTTGCAAACGCTGTGTCCTGTGCAGATCGCAGGCTGGTAGGGACAGAGGTATAGACAGGTCCCCTCGGCGGACTCCCTTCTCTCCGGAAAGGCTGAGGCCCAAGTCGGGCCCCACAAGCTTGTGCCACCAGGAAGAAAATGACGGTGTCGGGGAGGCTAAAACCCTGTCCCAGCTTAGACCTCAGGCCACTGGGAGCCCGCTCACCTCCACGGTGTGGCTGCACTCAATTCTGAGAGAGCTCAGAGGCACAAGAGAGAAGTCCAGGCCAGGTGTGGTGGCGCAAACCTGTCATCCCAGCCCTCGGGAGGCTGAGGCAGGAGGATCACCATGAGTTTTAGGCCAGCCTAGGCTACTTAGTGAGTTCAAGGCCAGCTTGGAATACATCAGAAGACTGTGCCTCAAAAAAACGAAAAAGAAAAAGCCCAAAGAATTCCTTTTGCAATTGCAAGGTATCTCCACCTGCTGATAGACATTCCTGGGTCGCAGGATGGCATCCACAGAGACCAGCTAGAGCCACCCGATTTATTTGTGCTGAGGCTGTGGTCCTCGAGAGGACAGGAAGCATTGGTCACTGCAGAACCACTTTGCTCTTGATAGGACCGGCTGTATTTGTACCTTATGCTAATCTGGATTTCATGATACAATGGAATTAAACTTACATCAGACCCAAGATTAATTAAGCCTCGGGGTGACTGGTCATCCAGGGGTGGCTCATTCATCTGCACGGGACTCCTGTGGCAGGTGCTCAGCTCCTCTCCCTCCCCAGGTTGCGTCGGAGGCCCCAAGGGATCGCCCGGCCTGCCCGGCCCTCCTGGGGCCCCAGGTAATGTGCTGTCCCCAGCCCCTGCGTACCTGGACCTCAGGTGCGGCAAGATCCAGCATCCCACACCCCAGAGCGGACTCTGGCCCTCTGTGGGGAGGGCTGTGTGTGGAGACAGACACCAGGCTGCCCCCCAGCTGATGGGAGACTCAGGCACCCAGAAAAGTCGCTCTGCAAGCCCAGAGGTGCTGCTGTGGGCCATACCCCCTCCGCCCCCGTGGGACTAACGTGGGTTGCTGTTTTTTTGGTGTCCAGGTGACAAAGGCCCCAGAGGGGCCCCTGGACTCTCCGGAGAGGACGGACCACGAGGGCTCAAGGGCTTCCCCGGAGACCCAGGCCGCGAAGGGTTCCCGGGACCCCCAGGTGACTTGTGGGGAAGGCCGCGTGGGTGGCTCTGGTGTCTTTGTTCAGAGCAGCCGTTTCCACAGCACAGGCCCTCGATGGCAGCTGCTGTCCTTGTCACGGGGAGGCAGAGCACGCCTGACCTCATCCCAGCCACACTGCGCTGCGTTTGTGGAAAACACCGCCTGGTCCCACGGGAAACAGGCGGCCGGTGCCGGGGAAGCCTTTCCCCTGAGCAAACCCGGCTGCCTTGCCTGTGAGCACCCTGCGAGCCCCGCGGCCCTGCCATCATCCAGGCCGATCTCAGACTCAGAGAGGCCACGAGAAGGCAGAATGGCCCATGTGGGCCGTGTCCCCGTATCTCCATGTCCCAGTGTGGGCCGCGTGGCACTCGCGGGGCATGCAGAGGGCGCCGTCCCCCTCGGGCTCCCATCACTCCCTGAGATGTCCCTCCCCCCGCCCGCCCCCTGCACACGCAGGAGGCTGGTGTTCCAAGCACGGGGAGGAGGACCGGGCCACACGCGTCCCGGATGTCCTGCCTGGCTGTTCCAGGGCAGGCCTGGACGCCGGAGGGCAGCGGGGAGGGCAGTGGGGAGAAGGACGCTGTGACCGCCCGGCCCCAGCGTTTCCAGCCTCCTCCCGGCACCGGCTCAGGTGACAACGCTGACCTAGGCTAAGGGGCCCCTGTTTCCTTTTAGGGTTCATGGGACCCCGAGGATCCAAAGGTGCGGTGGGCCTCCCTGGCCCCGACGGATTCCAGGGCCCTAATGGCCTGCCAGGCCCTGCAGGGGCCCCTGGGGACAGGGGCATTCCCGGAGAGGTCCTGGGGGCCCAGCCCGGGCCCCGGGGGGACGCTGGGCTGCCTGGACACCCTGGCCTGAAAGGCGTCCCTGGAGAGCAAGGAGCCCCTGGATTCAGAGGTGAGTCCCACATCTCAGGGGGGGGATGTCCCCGTCAGGAGCGCCCCGTGGAGCCTGGCGAGCGGTGAGCAGGGACTGCCGCCAGCTGCGTCCTCCCTCTCTGTGCCGTGTGTCACTGCTGCAGTCACCTGGAGCGGCCAGCAGAGCACGGCCTGGAGACCTCGCAACCCACCCTGCGCTGTGCTGCCCGGGGCCGCCGTCCAGTCCCAGCCTGCACGATCCCAGGCACCCCATGCTGGGCACAGGGCTTGGGGCCGAAACGCACACGGCTCACTGTGCTGCCGTTCACGACACCCCGCGCGGTGGTGCCTGGTGAGGGAGACGGGGCCTGCCGTCTCCACACCTGGCACTGAGCCCCGCTCGCCCTGACAGAGACGGTGTCTCAGATGGCACTGTCTCGGTCCCCTCCGCCCCGCCCACCCCGGCCGGGAGCGTGCCCTCCCCAGCTCTGCAGCGCAGCCAGTGTCCTGCAGTGTGACCATAGCCGGGGCAGCCTGGACCCTGACGGGCAGCCAGGAGCCCGAGGAGCTCAGGGCGGGACTGGCATTTTGGAGGAGTCTGTCCGTGTCCCCACAAGGGAAGGGAGCACACAGGGCAGCGATTTTGATGACAGCTGGGCTGACCAGCTCCCCAGCTGGGGGGACAGGAGCGTGGCCCAGAGAGAGGAAGGAGGAGGCTGGGGCGGCAGCGTGCACAGGTGCACACAGACAGGGCCTCACACGCATACATGACACACGCGCACACACACACGCACGATAAGCACTCATCACCCACACGTGATCTCACAGTGGGGCGGGCGGCGGGGCCGGTCCTGCTCCAGCCGGAGCTCAGTGGCAGGGACACGCAGGTGGGTGCTGTGCTTCTCCACAGAGCTGTCTGGACAGTCACCGCCCGCGGCCCAGACCAGAGTGGGCCGGGCTGTGCCAGGCAGCTGCTTTTCCAGTGGTTCTGTAAATGGAAACCACCCGGAACAAGTCCGCTCAAAGAAATGACCACAGCACGAAGGGCAAAAGCCCTGCCACCCGCCCAGTGCTGGCCGCGGCGGCCCAAGTCCTCAGCCGCAGTGTTCGCAGCCTGGCACATGTCCTCCTGGGGGCGCACCAGACCCCACTGGGCGCTGTGCACCCTGAGGCCTCCGTCAGGCTCAGACCTGCGCAGGTCCCGGTGACGAGCTGTTCCTGGGGGTCGATTGTGCCCTGCCACGCTCCTATAGAGGCGCACAGACACACAAGCACAAAGTGTACAAAGTGTGTGGGCAAATGCTAAAATTCTACACATTAAAAACAAAACATTTGTCCAGGCGTAGTGGCACACACAGGTAATCCCAGCACTTGGGAGGCTGAAGCAGGAGGATCACTGTGAGTTTGAGACCAGCCTGGATTACCTGTCAAGACCATCTCAAAAGGCAAAAACAAAAACAAAAACAAAAATTTATCAGCAAAAGTGAAATAGTTGTGCCCCCAGACTAGAAGGTGTATGCCGTTAGTATCCCTCCCCCAAGAACTTCTCAGACCTATAAGAAAAATATCAGAGTCTCCAAAGGGAAGCCCAAGCAAAGAACAAACACTGCACCAAAACGCAAACACTAGAAGGAATGGTGCTCATAAGAAATGTGCGAACGGACACAGCCCGGGAACCTCCTCCCTCTGCTGCAGCCGACTCTCTGGTTTTGTCTGAACTTCAGGCTCAGTGCCGGAGAAAACAGGGTAGATGGAGAACTGGTGCACTTGCTGGAGTCGGGGTGATTGGGGAAAGTATTTGCTTTGACCACTAGGTCGACCTCTGGGCCGCTTCCCTAAGGAAATCGCCAGCCGCGTGGGTGGTCTGTGTACCAAGCCCCGACTCGGGCTATTTATTCAGAGTCGCTGAAATGTCGGCAGGGAATGTGTGCAAATGCGGTAAAATGCTGGGGACGCCCAGTGGAAAGAGCCGATGCCAATGGCGTTTATTGCGCTGCGACTCTGCGGCCCTCCCTCCCTCTGTGCGTGCGCGTGTGCGTGCGTGTGTGTGCGTTTAGAGGACTAGACAAGGCAGGCAGGAAACTCGCCGGATTGTCAGTGACCGCCGCGGGGTGAGGGTCCAAGCCCCTGCCCCTCCTGTGTCCAGACTTCCCGGAGCCCAGGCCCTGAGACGCGCTCTGCCGCCTGACCCAGGAGGGCGGCGCCTCTGCTGCCAGACGGTGCCCCGGCCTCACCACTGTCTTCTCCGTGCCCACAGGGAGCCAGGGGATGCCCGGGATGCCGGGGCTGAAGGGCCAGCTGGGCTTCCCAGGACCCTCCGGCCAGCAGGGACTGCCGGGACCTCCAGGACTGCACGGATTCCCAGGAGCTCCCGGCCCAGAGGGGCCGTTGGGGCTGCCCGGTGTCCCGGGCAGGGAAGGTAGGAGTCTGAGGGCCCCAGGGAGGGGAGGGGGCCTCAGACTTCCTCACAGGAACCCCCAAGAGCTGCTGCCAGTTCCAAACTCAAGACGCGTGTTTCACCGAGAATTTAAACAGCCCGAGAAACGGGCTCCTCCTTTTGCCTGTTGGGTATACAGGGGGTCTGGGGAAGATTTTACTAGAGAAAAAAGAAGTTCCCACAGAAAAAGTCCAAATCCAGCAGTCCAGGTTGGAGAGGGGGACCTGGAGGAGGTGCTGAGTACCCCCAGACAGTTCAGGCAGGGGGAACATCGGGAACATTGCCCCAGCCGGTCTGGAACTCCTGAACTCGAGCAGCCCTCCACCTCGGGTGTAGCAGGTTCTGGAGGCCGAGCTGAGGGCTGGGGGCAGCTGAGGGAAAGCAGCCGCTGGTGGCTTTAGCAGAGAAGGGCAGTGGGGCCTTCAGGAAGCGGCAGGCAGCTGGCGGTGGGGTCCAGTGTGAGACCGAGGACGGCAGCAGGCCGGGGCGCACGAGGTCGGGACAGCGAGGTGACTGGGCAGGTGCAGACAGGAGGGGGCAGGCGCGGCCAGCGGGGACCTGGAGCTCAGGACGGGCAGCCCCTCCAACCCTGGAGACCAAGTCCCTGCCAGGGCCGGCGCTGCCCGGCGCCCCTTGCCCTCCCCCGACAGCTCTGTTCCCAGGCCTGGGGCTCCTGACCCTCCCTCCCTTCCGAGGAAAGCATGTGAGACTGCGCCTTGGCCCCCGAGGAGAGTTCTCCGCACCGCCTTGAGCTTTGCCTTCCCGCCCTGCCAGGTCTGCCCGGGGACAGGGGCGACCCCGGTGACACAGGCGCCCCAGGCCCTGTGGGGATGAAAGGTCTCGCTGGGGACAGAGGCGACGCGGGCGCAGCGGGCGATCGGGGCCAACCAGGAACGCCCGGGTTTAAAGGAATGGTTGGGATGCCCGGCAGCCCCGGGCGAAAAGGTAACCGGGCCTTGACGACACCCAGGCTGCTGTCCAGTCCCCGAGGGACCCGGGACCTCCTTCTGTCCTTCCCCGCGTCCGGCTGCAGACCGGCTGCCCTGCCGCGCTTGTCCCCGTGCTGCACGTCAGACGTGGGCCTGCCGGGTCCCCACGCCCGGCTCCCACTAACGGCCACCCTCCTTCACTCCAGGGGACAGAGGCTCGCCAGGCATGGACGGCTTCCAGGGCATGATCGGGCTCAAGGGAAGGCCGGGGCTCCCGGGCACCAAGGGCGAGGCCGGGCTTTCTGGGCTGCCCGGTGTGAGGGGCCCGCCCGGCCAGCGTGGCGGGAAAGGTATGTACACTACACGGGGTCCCCACCGCCTTGGGGAAGCGGGAACCAGGACAAGGAGGAGACAGCCGGCAGCACCCCTGGGTGGTCCCGGAGTCGGGGGACAGTCCTGACCTCAGGGCTTTGCTGGCATTGGCACTGTCATTAGCAGCGTTTGCGTCGTCCCGCTGCTCTCGGGGAGCTGTCCGTGCACACGGCGTCTTTGTTCCCTTTGTATCCCCTCCCCACACCCTTCCCCTCTGCTCAGCCCCTCCCCCTGCAAAGATCCAGCTGTTTCCTGTTATCCATCTTTATTTGCCCCCTGTTCACGTGCGGGCTTCTCACACGGGAGAAACCCCGAGACATCCGAGCTACGTGCTTCACTGCTCTCAGCATCGGTCCGGGGTGCTCCGTGCCCCACACGGGACGCGGGTCTACGCCTCCGTGTGGCCCGTGTGCTGCCCCGTGTGTGAGCTGCACGCTTCCCTCACCGTATCAGGATGCGCTGCTGTGCGTGCGCGGCTGTCGGCACGGGTGTGCGTGGGTCACTGATGTGCCGAGGAAATTCGGAGGCTAAAGTAGCCGCACAAGGAGGCCCACGGGGCCGTGGAACGGACTGCGCCGTGACCCGCTGCCCAGCACGCTGAGGCGGGGAGGGCAGGAGGGCCAGGGTGTCCCTGCGGGGGGCAGACTCACCGCCCGACGCTGCGCCCCAGAGCCAGGCTGGCTCGTCCGACCCGCAAGGGTGACTCTGGACCCGGGCACTGGGCTGGAGCCGCGTGGCCCGGAGACTCCGGAGGGGCACCGCCGAGACCGAGGGCCTGCTCCACCTTTGCCCTGCATCTGAGGTCCCAGGAAGTGACGGCCTCTGCTTTCTTCCAGGCACCCGCGGGGACCCCGGCCCCCCAGGCCCTCCTCCCGTCATCCTGCCGGGGATGAAGTACATTAAGGGAGAGAAAGGCGACGAAGGGCCCATGGGGCTGAAAGGCCACCTGGGCTTGAAAGGTGAGGCTCCCTGTGCCCAGCCCACTGCTGCGCTGGCCCAAGGCCCCAACCCACCCTCACCCAGGTGTCCACGCCAGGGCTTGTGGGCCCCTTTGACGCCTGAGCACCCGGAGCCCTCGTTCTGAGCTGTGTGGCCCTGGGGAAACGGGTGCTGCCCAGACTGCAGGGCGCTTTCCCCACTGATGGGGCACCCGGGTCTTCCTGCAGGTGTCCAAGGCATGCCGGGGGTCCCAGGGCAGGCAGGAGTCCCAGGGCTGCCCGGAAGGCCAGGCTACATCAAAGGCATCAAAGGCGACATCGGCCTACCTGGCTCCCCCGGCCTGCCGGGCTTCCCCGGCGTGGTCGGCCCGCCCGGGATCATCGGCTTCCCAGGCTTCACAGGCAGCCGGGTGAGTGCAGGGCCTTCTCAGCCTGCCCCAAGGGCTCCTCTGCCCTGGGTGGCATCTACTAGGGTGGCAGTGGCCAAGAGGCCGATGCAGAGCCAGCTCAGGCCATCCTGGACCACAGTGGCTCAGGGTAGCAGCGCCCTTGCATGGGCCCGTGGTGCATGGTGCGAGGCGGCTGTGGTTTCATGGGATCGGAGCTGGAGTCCGGGACAGGCCCTCCCTGTGTGACCCCGGCCTGGGCGAGGCCCTCACCAACCTCCGGTGCTGCTGTGCACATGGCGTGAGGCACCGGGACCCTTCTGAGCCGCCCCCGACTCACCTCCCTGCCTAAGCTGTTTCCTTGGGCTTTTCCGCAGGGGGACAAGGGCACTCAGGGAAGAACAGGCCTGTACGGGGAGGTCGGCCAGCCTGGGGACTTCGGTGAGTGTCGGCGGCTCGGACAGGGCCAGCCGGGCGTCCCAGCACAGGCTCCTGGGCCCGGGGCGGTGTTGGACCTGCAGATCCTCTGGAAGCCATTGTTCTCCTTACGGTCAGGGGATGCTGGGCGTGGTGGCGCAGGCCTGTCATCCCAGCCCTCGGGAGGCTGGGGCAGGAGCTTCTCCATGAGTTCGAGGCCAATCTGGGCAGCGTAACAAGACTCTGTCTCAAAATAATGAAACAAAGCAAAGCAAAACATTAGGGACAACAGGAGGAGCAAAACCCATCCCCTCCTTCCCGGAGGCCTCTTCTTACCCAACTTTCCTCCCGTGACAGGGGACATTGGGGACACCATCAACCTACCCGGAAGCCCAGGCCTGAAGGGAGAGCGAGGCGTCACCGGGACCCCGGGTACGCAGCACCTTCCCCTTCCACCACGCCCAGCCCCCGTGACCCCGACAGCCCCGGCGTGTGGCCTTCTGTGTGAGCCTGTGGGCGCCGGCCGAGTCTTCCCACCCGGCCTGGTGCCCAGCAGAGAGGTGCGCTCCAAGCTGCCCGCTGTGTTCCAGGTCTGAAGGGATTCTTCGGAGAAAGAGGCACCCAGGGTGAGGTCGGCTTCCCTGGCATCACGGGCCTGGCTGGACCCCAGGGTCCGCCTGGAATCAAAGGACAGACAGGTGAGGCGGCACCCGCGTCCTCTGCACCCCGCTCCGCCAGGCCCTCCTCCTGCCGCACCCACTTGCCTAATCCAGGTTCAGTCAGGAGGGGAGCTGGGCGGTGGCCGGCAGCAGTCTGGACCGAGCCACACCCCGTCGCAGTGTGGGGGGCTCTCGTGGGCTGGTCCACCCACTGGCCTCCGAGGGTGCCAGGTCAGTGGAGGAAGCCACCTGTGGACAGTCCCAGCTGCGCTGCGGCCACCACTGTCCCTCTGTGCACCCTGCACCCTGGCTCGGAGGTGACTCTCATGCACCACCATGATAGGGCAAGAATAGAAAAACACACAGAACTCTGGAGGCTGAGGCAGGAGGGTCTCAAGTTCACGTGCAGCCAGGGCAACTCAGCAGCTCAGTGAGGTCCTATCTCAAAAAAATAAATAAACAAATAAATAAAAAGGGCTGAGGGTGCAGCTCAGGGCAAAGTCTTGGGGTTCAGTCCCCAGTGTCACAACACACAGGCACGCGCACACACACGCGCGCGCGCACACACACACTGCTTTCTCTTAGCAAGGCTGAGCTGACCCCGCTGAACCTGAGGGCGGTCCCTGGGTCACAGCTCTGCGGATGGGACAAGGGCAGTTTCCAGTTTCTCTTGTAGCTGCAGCCCCTGTGTCAGGATGAGCTCCCCGGGCCTCCAGGGTCTCCTGTGGGCTCTGAACTAATACCGTCTCCTTGCAGGTTTCCCGGGACTAACGGGGCTTCAGGGGCCGCAGGGGGACCCAGGACAGATCGGATTCCCCGGGCAGAAAGGAGACGATGGCTGGCCCGGCATGCCAGGCTTGCCAGGTGAGGTGACCCCTGGGGACCTGCGTGGGGCTGCTCGGGACAGTGTGCCTGGGAGGGTCACAAGGCCTGGCCCCTGCTTGCTCGGAATTAAGGATGCCCCCATCAGCCCAAGAAGTGCCATGGGCCAAGCCACACACTGCCACCTCATGCTGTGTCACAGGGTGCGGTGGCACAAGCCTATCATCCCAGCTCTTGGGAGGCTGAGGCAGGAGGACTGCAAATTCATGACCAACCTAGAAAACACAGTGAGACCCTGTCTCAAAAAATAAATGAGAATAAAAAGTAGAAATGTTTCTCCTCAGACATTCAGAGAGACTGGGAATAATGAATGCTAGGCTATGTGCCAAGCAGACTTTTAGAATCACATACGGCACACCTGCAGTCCCAGCACTGAGGAGGCTGAGGCAGGAGGTTCACTGTGAGTTCCGGACTACAGAGGGAGACCGTATCTCAAAGAAAAGAAAAAGAAAGAAAGAAACTACACAGTTCCGGGCCAAGGGAGGCCGCAGGGAGGGACGCAGCACCCAGGTCCTGGCTGCTGGCTGAAGGGAGTCTGACCGTACCTGTGCAAACAGCACTTGGCATGGGCCCCGGGGCATGGCAGAGGGCGGTGCCACGTGAACAGTCCCAAGGGTGCCCCACCAGCAGCGCCCTCCCGCCTCCCTTGGTGACTGCCCTGAGGCCCCACAGGTTTCCCAGGACTGCGCGGCATCAGCGGACTGCATGGCCTGCCGGGCCCCAAGGGCTCCCCCGGGTCCCCAGGTAAGCGGGCGGCGCAGCGTCGCGGCTGGCGGGCTGGGGCTGGGCGGGGCTCCTGCGTACCCTTTCCCCTTCAGTGCAGGGGAGCCAGCCAGGTCCAGTGCAGAAAAATGACGTTCAGATACCTCGTCAATTTCTGTTGGGGTGCATGCGTCTCCCCACTGCCTACTATCTCTGTTATTTTGCTCTTCACTCATACAAGGGAAACCCAGGGTACCGAGGCGCGTGTGTCTGAGCTATTTCCCTTAGCATCTCGGTCTCAAGGGGCATCCGTTCCCTACAGAGGGCGCTACGGCTCCTACCTCATGGCAGAGCAGTCAGAACACACTTAGACGGGAGGAGAACATCGCCCAAACCCTGTGCCTGTCGCTCACACGTACCCCCGGGGCGCGTCTGTAACCGAGCCCCCGCCTGCACGCACGAGCAGTGTGGTAAATTCGCACACTCGCTCCGGGAACGGGCATCTCCAGTTCTGGTGGGGGCATGCGGGAGATCCTCGCGTTGTGACAGTGGCCGGGGAGTGCAGGCGCGCCGAGTTCTCACAACCCACCGAAGCGCAGCATTAGCCGGCACGCGACCCCGGGGGACCTGCTTCTCCTCTGGAGCGCGGGTCCCCTGCCCTCTACAGGACCCTCGGGTCACGGACGCTGACGCAGAGCTCAGCGCAGGGACGGGTCCCAGGGCTGCCCGGCCCCGGACTCCTGAGTCCGCCGACCGTCACCCTGGCATGGCCGCGCACATCACCACTGCTGTGTTTGTGCCCCGCAGGTGCTGACATGCCCGGAGACCCAGGCTTTCCCGGCCCCATCGGGGACAGAGGTGACCCCGGAGAGCCCAACTCCTCCCCAGGGCCCACGGGCGTCCCTGGACAGAAGGGCGAGCAGGGAGCTCCAGGTAAGACGCCACCCAGGGCTGCATGTGACCTTGCAGGTGCCTGGCGTTGGTCACTGTCCCCCCTGGTGTGTGGCTGGGGCCCCTCTGAAGCCCCCTCCGTGCCCCAGGGTCTGAGGGGGACAGCGAGAGAGGGTGGCAGCAGCAGGGCGAGCCCCAGAGGCCAGCGGAGTCAGAGGGCAGAGTCTGGTGTGGTCACCAGGGCCCGGGGCAGGGGCAGCCCCCGTGGGCACCTGGGGCCTGGCACGCTGGTGTCCCCGAGCAGAAGGCGCTGCCCAGTGGGCCCCACGCTCCTCCCTCCGGGGCCTGCGCCCAGGTCACCGTCTGGCGCGCCCTGCGTGGCACGGGGCCTTGGGGCCGGCAGCCTGGGAGCGGAGAGGAACGCTGGTGCTGGCACTGAGCACAGCCCTTCTGTCTTCAGGGGAGCGAGGCCCAGCAGGGAGACCCGGGATACAAGGCTTCCCCGGCATTAGCCCTGCGTCCAACATCTCCGGGCTGCCCGGGGACACCGGGTCGCCAGGGATCTTCGGCCTGAAAGGTGAGCAGGACGGGGTGGGCGGGGCCTCGGCAGTGGCTCCGCTGACCCGGTGGCCCACCCTTCTGTCTCCCACGGTGTCCCACGCGTCCCCTGTCCTCTCCATCCCCTCCACGACGCAGCCCCCGGGGACCCGAGCGCAGGGCGCGCCCATGATACTAGGGCTGGTACTCGGATGGGCAGTGGTGGCCCTCCTCGCTCAGCTGCTGGGTTTGGTGCACATTTCCCAGCCGCACAGCCGCTGAGGGCTCAGAAGAGCTGGCGTAGAGACAAGGGACCCATCAACAGCTGTGCATCAGTAACCACGGCAGCACTGGTCAGGACGGCCAGGGAGGAGAGTAGCCCCAGGGTCCATCCACAGATGAAGGAGTAAACTAAGATGTGTCATGCACAGTGGAGTATTACACAGCCTTCAAAAGGGAAGACACACCAACACGCTCATACAACATGGATGAGCCCAGAGGCCCAGATACTCAGATAAGGCAGTCACACAAGCACAAGCACCATATGGTTCCACTCATGTGAGGCCCCCAGGATGGTCAAGTCAATGCAGCAGGCAGTAGAATGGCCCAGGGTGAGGGGCCGTGGCTGTTGCAGAATTAGTACTTAATGTGAACAGAGCGTGGATCTCGGTCTTGGACTCCAGAACAATAAGAAGCTCTGGAGATCTAGCCGGGTGTAATGATGCACACATGCTATCCCAGCGCTCAGGAGGCTGAGGCAGGAAGGTTGCCATGAGTTCAAGGCCAGCCTGGGCTACATAGCGAGACTCTGTCTCAAAAAAATGAGATAAAAGCCTGGAGAGAGACAGTGCGATGTCTGCCAACAGTGGAGCGTGCGAGATGCCACTGAGCTACGTACCTAACGATGGTTAACGTGGGCAATTCTAGGTCTCCGCAACTTTTTACAAAAACATAGTCGCCGAGAGACCCAGCACTGCACACTGGTGGAGCCAGCCCCAAGCGCCTGGCCTCCAGCTGGCTGCAGCGGCAGCGGCCGGGTCTGTCTAAACTGCCTTCCCGACTGTCGCCCACAGGTTACCCAGGCCCCCAGGGCCCCCCCGGCCCCGCCGCCCTGCCTGGAAGCAAAGGGGACACTGGGAGTGCCGGTGCTCCAGGCGTCCCAGGGACCAAGGGATGGGTCGGAGACCCAGGGCCCCAGGGCCGGCCAGGCGTGTTCGGTGTCCCGGGAGAGAAAGGTGACTGGCGCGGGCGCTGGGGTGGAGGCGAGGGCACCCCGTGAGAGACGTGCCCTGACCCTGTGCCCTCTATTCCACAGGGCCCCGGGGCGAACCCGGCCTAATGGGCAATACCGGGCCCACCGGGGCTGTGGGCGACAGAGGCCCCAAGGGACCCAAAGGAGACCAGGGATTTCCCGGTGAGTGGCTAGCAGGCCAGGTGCCCGGGCCCGGCCCTTCCTGCGGGCAGGGAAGGGCAGCGCCTTGCTCTCCGCACTCACCACCTCTCTTTGCCCTGCAGGAGCCCCCGGTTCTGTGGGGTCCCCCGGGATTGCTGGAATCCCCCAGAGGATCTCGGCTCCAGCTGGCACGATGGGGCCCGAGGGCAGGAGGGGTTCTCCCGGGGCACAGGGGGAGATGGGGCCACAGGGGCCCCCCGGAGAACCAGGTAGGAGGCCAGGGGGATGCCAGGGAGGGCTCGAGGTCCTCCACGTCCTTTCAGGGTCTCACCCGGCCCCCACACTCACCGGTGTCTTGCAGGTTTCCGTGGAGTGCCAGGGAAGCCTGGGCCCCAGGGGCGCGGTGGCGTGTCTGCTTTGCCCGGGTTCCGGGGAGACCCAGGGCCCGTGGGGCAACAGGGCCCGATCGGCCAAGAAGGTGGGTGACTGCGGGGTGCTGGTGGGGAGAGGTCATGCGGAGGGCAGAGGGACAGACTCCCCCCTGACCCCTGGGTGCCCAGCGCGCTGCAGGGCCAGGCTCACCAGACCTGAGGGCCAACAAGGAGCGGGAGGGCACCCGCTAAGCTAGCGGGAGACCACGCGGCCACGTGTTTCCGTGTGCAGAGGAGCAGGCCAGGGGCGGCAAGCACTCCTGCCAAGTAACCCTGAGCTCTTTCTGATCAGCCCTGGCCAGGCGGTCAGCGGCAGAGGCAAAGCAGATGGGCACAGGTTACTTTATCAGCACAAAGACCACAGGGCCAGCGAGCAGGGCGGGGCCGCGGCCGCAGCCGTGGGCAGCGTGGGGACCACACGGGAGCACGCCAGACGCGGTCAGGACCCGAGGCGGGTGGGTGCCCCAGCAGGCGGACTCCGCGTGGCAGGCTGCGGGAGAGGCGCGCTGGGCACGCTTCGGAGTCCGGGGCAGTCACCGGCGCACTCTCCCTGGAGCGGAGTGGCCGAGCCTGCTGTACGGAGAAGGAAGAGCCAGCATTCCTCGGATCACGGCCGGGCGGCTGAGCCGTGCTTTCTCTGGCCCTAGGGGAGCCGGGCCGCCCAGGGAGCCCGGGGCTGCCGGGCATGCCGGGCCGCAGCGTCAGCATTGGCTACCTGCTGGTGAAGCACAGCCAGACCGACCAGGAGCCCATGTGCCCGGTGGGCATGAACCGGCTGTGGAGCGGCTACAGCCTGCTGTACTTCGAGGGCCAGGAGAAGGCCCACAACCAGGACCTGGGTAGGTATCCACGGCGACATTCGGGAGCTGAGCAGCCGCAGGGGCACAAGGGCTGCCACCCCGAAACCTGTGGGCGCTGAGCAGGGACCCGCCTGCCCACCTGGTACTGGTCCCGTGGCTCCCACTCACCAGCAGAGGCCACAAGCTCCTTCCCCTCCTTCTTTTGCGGCGTTTCAGAGAGTCTCACTGTGTAGTCCAGGCTGGTCTTGAACTCGCGGCAGTCATCCTGCCTCAGCCTCCCAAGTGCTGGAATGAGAGCTGTGTGCCTTCTCGCCCAGCTTGGGGCCGTGAGCTATTAAGCTACATGTGTGAAAGGGAAGCCTGCTTTACTCATGGTACCCTCTTGCCCTCACAGCCTGTCTCTGCGTGGAGACACAGAGTCCTGGCTGGGCTGGGTTCCAGGGGCCCCATGAGTGAGCAAGGCCCTCTTTGGGGCTAATGCTGCTAAGAACCCCCAAGAGAAGCCAGGCGTGGTGTTGCATGCCTGTCATCCCAGCCCTCGGGAGGCTGAGGCAGGAGGATCACTGCTAGTTCAAGGCCAACCTGGGCTACATAGCAAGAGCCTGTCTCAAAACTTCAAACCAGAACCCCTAGGATAGCTGCGCCCCTCCAGCCTCATTCCCGAAGCGCAGCTCCCTGGGCCCAGCCTGGCCCGAGGCCTCAGGTGCCGCTCTGGGGAAGCCTGGCTCCTGCAAAGCCAGCGTGGCCAGCGCAACAAAAAGGAAGTGAGGCTCCGGCAGCTCGGCCAGAGCCGTTCCCAGGCGCGCCAGGCTGCGGGTTCCACCCCGGCACCAGGAAACAGGAGGGGCCGGGGCCTCGGCCTGCGGCCTGCGGGAGCTGCACGGCCGGGCTGTCCTCGAGGCCTCACCACGTGCCTCCCGCAGGGCTGGCTGGCTCCTGCCTGGCTCGCTTCAGCACCATGCCCTTCCTCTACTGCAACCCCGGCGACGTCTGCTACTACGCCAGCCGCAACGACAAGTCCTACTGGCTGTCCACCACCGCCCCGCTGCCCATGATGCCCGTGGCCGAGGACGACATCAAGCCCTACATCAGCCGGTGCTCCGTGTGCGAGGCCCCGGCCGTGGCCATCGCAGTGCACAGCCAGGACGTGTCCATACCCCACTGCCCGGCCGGCTGGCGCAGCCTGTGGATCGGGTACTCCTTCCTCATGGTATGTGCCCTCCCTCTCCCCCCTCCTCCCTCCCTGCTCTGTCTGCACGGAACCAGGTGCAAACCTACCTCCTCTGGCTGGTTGGGGACACGGGGAGAACACACAGGACAGTCGTTCAGGTGACGCACTGCACAAGGGCACCTGACCCACAGAAGGAGCAGGGGCTGGAAGACAGCTTGCACGTTGCTCACGGAGCTATGGGTGCAGGGATGGCACTGTCACCCACGACACCATTAATTTGCCATCAAAGCTTTGCACAGAGTGAGATTCGGATGAATTTGTCCTCTGACTCAGCACCCGAGCGAGCGAGTGAAGGGCTTCCCGGGAGGGCAAGGGTGGGGAGGCCACAGCTCTAGGCTCCTCGGGTCATGGGTGAGTCTTCCTGGGACCTCACGCACTGAGCACCCTCAAAGCAGCCTGCAGGGCTGGCCGGCTACAGTGCACACGCAGGGCAGGAGACCCCAGGCTGCAGTTTCACGCCACCCCAGTAACGTATGTGTGTGCACGTGTGTGTGTACACGTGTGTGTGTGTGTGTGCATGTGGCAAGCTCAGAGCCCCTCCCCCCACGACAGCCCTAGCCTCCGGGGATCCTCACCTGAGTCCCTGGCCCTGTCCTGAGGCCTTGGTGCCCCCCTGGGCACCATCCTCTGGCCACCAAGCGGAGCGCTCCTCAAGGCGTCTTGGTGCTGCTGTTTACATCAGAGACACGTCACCCTGGCCCTGCCCAGGTGACACACACAGCGGCCTCTGTCAAGGCCTAGCCGGGCTGCCCTTCACACAAACCCCAAGGTCAAGGTCGCGCCCCCCTACACCCCAAGAGAAGCCAACCACCAGAAGTAGAACTTTCAAGTGACCCCAAAATTGGTTTCTTTGCGAATCCAGAAGCCTCAGAGCCTAGTAATTAACCTCAGGTGGGAAAGCACTTTAATTACCCAAGGGTACCTGTGTGCTAGAGAAAAATCATCGCGTGCTGGTTTTTCTTTTAAGGAAAAGCCGTTGGGGCCGCTCCCCTCCCGGCCCAGCGCTTCCGGGGGAGGGGCCGGGCGCGGGCACTCGAAGCCTCCTTTCGGTTTGTCAGCCGCAGACGGGTGCGTGTTCAGGGTTTGGTTTTACCGAAATGTGCTCATCGGATCCACACAAGGCCTGCGTCCATGCGCATGAGGGGTTCGCTGCGGGACGCCCGGGCTGTGTTTGCGCCCCGGCTGCTCCGCAGCGCCCCCCAGCGTCCGGGCTGCGCTCTGCACACCGTGTCCTCAGCACCCGACAACTGAGCGCGGTGTGCCGCTGTGGCTCGGGCTGGCGCCGCCGACCGAGATGTTTGCAGAGGAGCAGCCGCCGCCCGGGGCCCTAACCCGCCCTGCCCGCCCCCACAGCACACCGCAGCCGGGGATGAAGGCGGCGGCCAGTCGCTGGTGTCCCCGGGCAGCTGTCTGGAGGACTTCCGCGCCACGCCGTTCATCGAGTGCAACGGGGGCCGAGGGACCTGCCACTACTTCGCCAACAAGTACAGCTTCTGGCTGACCACCATCCCCGAGGCCAGCTTCCAGGGCTCGCCGTCGGCCGACACGCTCAAGGCCGGCCTCATCCGCACGCACATCAGCCGCTGCCAGGTGTGCATGAAGAACCTGTGAGGGCCGAGGCGGCCGGCGTGGTGCTCACCCCTCTTACCTCGGACGCCGGCCCGGGCCCAGCCCCGTCCCCGAACCCGCCCGCCCGCCCACGCACAGGGACACCGGCCGGGTAGAGACCGCAGGACCAGGTGCAGCCCCGCCCGCCCATCCCATCTCGCCTCCCTGCACCGCGGCAGCTGTGACTCCCTCACCTCCGGGCTGGCTGGGCTGCGGGCTCCCTGTCCCCAGCCCCCGGCCCCCGGCCCCGGCCCTGCAGTGGTGGGCAGAGCTGTGTCCTGGGCCCTCCAGGACACACTTCTCCAGGACACATGCGACGTGCACACTTCTCATGCCCACACCTGACACCTGACAGCTGCCGAGGAAACATGGCCAAGGGAGGTGGGGTCCCGGTCCACGTGCACCTGGCCCCCTCCCCGTTCCCTGCAGCCCGCTGCCCCCCTCTGCCTGTCCCGTGTAACAGCCTTAAAATAAAAGTTGGTTTTAAACATTTCTAACCCCTGGCTGCTGGCTGCTGTGACTTTCTCACGCGCTCATTTAAATCTTGTAAATCCGCTGCCGTGGACGCGGAGTCCTCCGTGCTGACCCTGGGAGGTGCTTCAGGCTTGCTGGCTGGGCAATGGGTTCCGGACCTGACCCCAGGCAGCCGCGCTGCGGCTCGTTTCCCCGGGGACTAGACTCTGTCATTCACTCCGAGGGCAGGAAGCCACTGACGGTGCGTCACATTCACAGGGCCAAGGCTGCCCTGGCCCCATGCGACTTTCCAGGCCTTCGGGCCCGCTCGGAGGATTCATTCAACCCTGTGAAGGTCAGCCTTCCTCAGGGGCCCCCCTTCTCCTGCTTCTCAGGGTGGGTGAGCACGGGGTGGGCCTGGGTCCCCAGAGCCACGGGACAGGACTCCGCGGACGCGGCATGCAGGGAATCCCCAGGCAGAGGGTTGGCTGGATGCAAAGCAGGTGTCGCTGAAGCGGCTGAGGTTGAGACAGAGGACAACGGCTCAGTCCCGGGGCCACGGGCTCCTCACTGCCCAGCCCCTCTCAGGGCTCTTCCTCCCCAGCTCCGGCCCTGCCGGTCCCCACTGCACCCACCCAGTAGCCGAGGGGGAGGTAGGGAGCAGGGGAGGCTAAGCTCATACCCAGGCCACACCTGGACATTCAGTTGCTGGGCAATCTCACAATTTAGTGACACCCTGTCTCAAAAATAAATAATAAAATTTTTAAAGGCATTAGAGAACCGGGCATGGCAGCACACACCTGAAATCCCAGCACTTGGGAGGCTGAGGCAGGAGGATTGCCACAAATTCAAGGTCAGCCTGGGCTACATAGTGAGTTCAAAGCCAGCCTGAACTACATAGCAAGACCCTGTCACAAAAGGGGGTGGGGTGGGGATTTAGTTCAGTGCAAATGCCCAAAATCTCATTTTTAACCTAACATGGGTGCAGATGGCTCCATGCAGACAGACAGGGATTAGTGGGTCCACAGGCGCACACACACGCAGACACAATTCTTTCCTCTGTCCGCTGTGAGCGTCCAGCAGCAAAGCGCACCCCTCTCCCCAGGTGAGCACGCAGACCTAGAACTCAAGACCCACGCTGACTCCTAGGCTCCTATTCACTGAGCGCCAACTGCACGCCAGGCACGGCTGGGGCTCTGCACCTGAGAGCGCGCCTGCTGGCCGCCGGTCACCACGCACCAGGGACTCGGGGAAGCTGGCTCTGGTTCAGCTAAGCAGAGGACACAGGTGTGGGGCACAGAGAGCCCGAGGGAGGTCGGCGGCCCCAGCCCTGCCTAGATCAGGGTGCCCAGCAGTCCCCCACCTGCCCTGCTGCAGGTGGGCCCGATGCAGGGGTGACTCAACACTCTTCCCACCAGAGCCAGGCCAGGACCCTGGCAGATGGGCACAGGCAGGTGAGAAGGCCGGGCTGTGAGGCAGTGACCGTCCCCAAGCCACAGCCCTCAGTGCCCACGCACCCCCAGCTGCTGGCCCGTGTGGGGTCCTCTCCTGCCCGCGCTGCCTTCCCTCCCCCAACGCTCAGGACAGCACAGGGAGGCACGGCGGGCTCCGGGGTTGCACACCTCGACTACCTGGGGGCTCAGGTCTGCGTGACTGCCACGGGATCCGGGAACCCGGTGGTGGGCGTGTGCTGCCTGAGCAGCCCCCAGCCCCACGGAGCCACTGCAGAGTGCCCAGACCATGCCCAGGGGCACATCCTGGGCCCAGCTGGGCACAGGGCCGGGAGGTGGGGCTGAGGGGAGGGGCCGGTGGGCGGGGCTTGTGTGGAGGGACAGCCCCTGAGGGGACTCCCAGGAGAATTGGGGGTCCCACTCTGGCCTCCACAAACCCTGTCCTCCAAGGCACTGTGTGCCCTGTGGGCCTCGGGTCCTCGTCCTCGACAAGGGATAAGCAAGGGCCTTGGTGAATCCAAAGGGAAGGGAGGGGACAGATCTGCCACCAGCCATCTGCAGGGCCACCAGCCTGCCAAGGTCCAGGGGAGCCCAGGCAAGCCTCAGGGCCGTCTCCCCTGGACACCATGCAGCGCAAGCAACCACAGCGATGCCCACCTGTGACCCAGGCACTCCGGAGGCTGAAGCAGGAGGGCAGCAGGTTCCAGGCCAGCCTGAGCAGCCTAGTGAGACCGTCTCACACCTGAAAATGGCTGGGGCCCGGCTCTGCGGTGGAGGCTTGCCTAGCATGTGGGGGGTCCTGGGTTCCCCCCAGCACCATGGAAACCAAACACTGGCGACAGGGCCCCCTGCTGGCCAGGGTCCCCAGACCCCTTGGGCTTGAGTGGTCTGCTGTTGCCCCGGATGGGGGGTCTAACAACCAGGGTCCCCAGGAGCTCAGAAGGAAGGGACAAGCTCACTGCCCTTCCCACAGAAACACTGTCTCCCCCGCTGCCCCTGGCTCTGAGCGCCAGGATGCACACCTGCGGCGGGAGCTCGGCTGTGACAAGAAGACCAGTCACACGACAGCATCGCCCCATAGGAAGCCAGGCCTGCAGCACCCCAACCTGTGCCCGTGCCACCCCAAGCATCGTGCTGCCAGGGTGTAGGAGAGCACGCGAGCGCTTCCCATCTGTCTCTGGACACTGTGGAGCCCGGGGCCCGTGTGTTCCCGTGCACAGCACAGGCTCCAAGATCGCACACACGCAACCAGGCAGAGTCGGCACCACCTCAGGGGCTCATGGCTGCAGAAGTCGCGCTGACCAAGGACCTCCTGCTCCCCGGGAGGCCAGGGGGGAGCCAGGCTGGTCCATCTGGGCTCCACAAGAGCAGGAGGCCGGGGCCCCAGCCCTGGCTCCCTGGGGGCCACACAGGCGGACTCTGGCATCTGCCAGTGACCAGTGCCTCGCCCCAGGGCACTGAGGACCAGCCCGAAGGTACAGGGACGAGCTGCTGTGCTGGCTGCGGGGGGGACGGTTTAGAGGAGCCCGCGGTGACCATGTTTCCAGAGCCCAGGGAGAACACTCAAGAGGGCCGATGTCATCCATGCACTCCAGGCCCCAGACGTGTGTCCAAGCAGGAGCACAGCCATGAGTGCTCGGGGCAGACGGTAAATCCATCCGAGGGGACAGATCGGCCGCGAGCCATCTGCAGAAGATTTCTTCCACTCGAGAAGAAATACGGGAATTCACACGCCTGTGATCCCAGCACTCTGGGAGGCTGAGGCAGGAGGATTTCAAATTCATGCCCAGCCTGGGCCTTTTAGCAACTTACTGAGACACTGTCTCAAAATACAAAATGTAAAAGGGCTGGGGATACAGCTCAGTGCGAAGGCCTTGGGTTCAATTCCCAGGAGCAGAGGGCAAGGAAGGAAGGAGGGGGAGGAAGGAAGGAGGAAGGAGGAAAAAGGAAGGAGGAGGGAGGAGGGAGAGGGAGTCACCCAGCCCCTGCCTGCAAGCCTGAGCTGCAACGGGGCTCCTGGCGCTTCAAAGGCAGACACATGGTGCACACCTGTAATCCCAGCACTCAGGAGGCTGAGGCAGGAGGATCGTTGCAAGTTTGAGACCAGCAAACTTGTGAGCTACAAGTGAGCTCAAGGCCAGCCTGAACTGCATAGCGAGACCCTGCCTCAAGAAGACAAAATAAAAAATAAAAAAAAGACAGACACATTGTCTGGGTGCAAATCAGCAGTCTCCACACCAGGCTTTCCCCAAATCAATTTTAATAATATGCAGGCCCACGCTGCCTCCACCGACGCAAGTCACTCCGGGCTGTGTGTAAGTCACACGTGGAGGGTGACGGTGCTAAGGTACCAAGTACCAGCGCCCGGGCAGACCCAGGAGGAGTCAGCGTGGAGGGACCTTGAACACAGCCGCGAGGGACACAGCTGCCAGGCACAGGGGACACGTGGGCATGGGGCAGGTGCCACACGGCCACCCCGACCACGGCTCCACAGCGAAGGTCAGGACTCACGCGGGGGCTGTGGGGATGCACAGGGCTGGGTGGGCAGCGTGGGTGCCCAGCTCCGCAGCCGGCATCCATGTGCAGCCACACGGGGACCAGCGGTCACCTCCACTCTGCCATCCTAGGTGCGGCCCCGATGCCCGCGCTCTCTCGGGGAGCCCAAGGGGCTCAGGCGCAGCACCCGGATCTGGTCCGCTTGGGGGGCTTCTGGCTCGTGATGTCCACAGTCTCCACGGGCTCCTCGGCCTTCTGCCGCAAGACCATGGGCACCACCATGTCAAACACGGTCTCGAACAGCAGGTCCACGTTGTGGCCCGTCTTGGCGCTGGTCTCAAAGCACATCTGCTCGGCGGCCGGCGCATCCCTCTCGTCCAGCATTCTGTACCTGAGGATCTTCTTGTACAGCGCCACCGCGTCCTCCCGAGACACCTGCTTGGGCACCCTGGGGCAGGCGCAGGGCTCCCCCACCTGCCCAGGGCCGAGCCCATCCCCCTCTCGGGCCTGCTCCACGAGGTCCACCTTGTTGCCCACGATGACGAACAGGCAGTCCTTGCTGGCCGAGTCCGTCAGGCCCAGGAACCTGTCCTCCAGCTCCGCCAGGCTCTGCGGGTGCGTCACGTCGTAGGTGAGGATGACAGCAGCCGCGCCGCGGCAGTACATGGAGCCCAGGCCGTGGAACTGCTCCCGCCCTGCGGAGAGAGGCAGAGAGAAGTCACCGCTCAGCTCCGGGTCCCCACCCCACCGCGAAGGGACAGCGCCTGGTGCGGCTGGAGACAGAAGGATGAGGACACCAATGGCCAGCGCAGGGGCTGACCGGCCAGGGAAGTAACCCAAGAGCTCAGGCTGTGCTGCAGAACAAAGCACAGCAGGGCCAGCTCCAGGCCAGGGGCCCTGGGCTGACGGCCACAGGAAGTAGATCGCGCACCACCAATCCCACACCAGCCTTAACATTCAGGCTGGGACCCCCGGCGCCCAGCCCGCCTCCTAGCAGAAGGTGCCGCTTCTTTTCACTTTGGCTTCTTGGGGGTTGTTTGTTTGCCGTTCACACTGACCTTGAATTCACACTGTAGCCCAAGCTGACCTCAAACTCAGCAACCCTCCTGCCTCAGCCTCTCGAGTGCTGGGATGACAGCTGTGTGCCACTGCACCTGCCCCACACTGGCCTTTCCAAAGATGCGCAAGCCTATGATGCCAGCCTGGCTCTCAGCCCCTGTGCCATGTTCTGCAGCAGCGTGAGGGGCTCTGCCTCCGAGGAAACCCTGTGGCCACTTTCCGCAGCGCAGCCTTCTGGACCTGGGGTGCGAGGGACTCTGGTCAGTGAGGGGCGCAGTCACCGGGGGAGCCCAGGACAGCGGGCACTCACAGGCAGAGGCACCCTGCCACCCACAGCTCCGGCTGCCCCAGTCCAGGGTGCAGCGGCTGCGACCCAGGTGTGCTCTCAGGAGCAGCTGCATGAGAGCAGAGGACACCCTGTAAATGGGACACGGCATTCCCTCCAACTGTGAGTATCAGCCACAATCCACGGTCTGATCACGGGCTCAGGGCCGTGCGTCACCCACAGGAAGGAGATGCCGGGATCTCTTGACGGTGGCCACACACACCTCTTCGAATTGGTGATCGAGACCCCACAGTCAGGACAGCCCCTGCCTGCAAGGGATCTCAGAGCTCAACAGATGAACAGGCGTGACTTCAAAAACAAAGCCTCCTGGGGCTGGGGACTTAGCTCAGCCGTACAGTGCCTGACTAGCAAGCACAAGGTCGTGAGTTCAATTCCCAGTACCAGGAAAAGAAAAAGCCTTCTGCTGGTGTGGAGGCACATCCCAGCACCTGGGAGGCTGAGGAAGGAGGACTGCCTCGAGTTCAAGGCCAGCCTGGGCTCTCCAGCAAGAGCCTGTCTCAAAAAACTTTAGTTAATTAAATTAAAAATGGAAAAGAAAGAAGGAAGTGCTTCTGCACTCTTCAGTTGGGTGGCAACCCAGGATCGTGAGATTCCAGGCAGTGAAAACGACACACACTCGATTCCAGGGGCAGGGCGGGGACGGGACTTCCGCTGGCTCTGGGAGCGTTTCTTTTTTTTGAAGTGTCTGCTACAATGGTTCATTGGGACAAAGGGAGAACTGCTAATGCCTCAGCCTAAATAATTTTACGCCTTACTTTTAAAAACTGAAAAATAATCAGTGTACAAAACAAAAGGTCACTGCAACTAAAGTCAGAAGGGACAGTTCTGAAAGCCAGGCAGAGCCAAGTAAACCGGGCACTGTTCAGCTCACAGGTCTGCTACCTACTCACCAACAGCACCGACAGATGGTCACCCCAGCTAGAGAACAGAAGGGCCTGCGGTTTCCACGCCTGGAACCCTCACACGCTGCTCCAGACGCGGTCTCTAGCACCTGAGAGCAGCCCGCTCCCGGCTGGAACACAGGCTGTGTCCCTAACAGCAGGGGCAACCCTGGCCAGCCGGGGACTTACATCCCACTTCTGCTCCAAACTGTATTATGGCTGTGTCTGGATGTCCTTCCAAAGCTCTCAGCTCATAGCTGGGGCTCTTTGGAGCTGGCTGGATCTAGCATGTGTGGCACAGGGATGAAGGGTGTGTGGGATTAAATTAGTCCACGGATTGGTTTGGCACAGTTCTGTGGTGGAGACCACTGCGAAGCAGCTCTGAGCAGGATTTACTATTAACCAACTGGCTTTCCATGTTTACTTGTGAGTTGTCGGAAGCTTAGGCCCCTTGTCTGGAGATGGGCAGTGGACTCATAGTAAGTGAACCTCTGTGAGTCACTCACTGGTCACCGCTGAGCCTGTATTGGCCTGTGAAGCTGTGATGCCTCAAAGGACAAGATACGGCCACAGCTGAGGATGCCTGGCTCCAACCCCAGTTAACTAAAAGGAGACTGCAGCTGCAGGCTCCATACTCCTACAGTGAAGGTCAACCTAAAGATAAGGTAGTTGTCCTGACTGACATAATTTACTACTTGGGAAAATATCTCCCAGAGTCCTGCTAGATACCTCTCAGATTCCCACATTTTCTTCAGTATTCCCCCTTGTTTGAAAACTAAATGAATACAGGCCGCCCAAAGAAGTTCTGTGTCTTAGCCCCAGAGAATCTTGAACTCTGGTAGAGGGTTTGGAACCTCCTGGAGCCCTACAATCATGTCACTTGTCTCATTCATGTAAGCCTTCGAAGTCCACTCTTTTGGGAGATTGCAGGACTGATCAGCTCGCGATGGCTAAAGTATATTATTAACCCGTTAGTTCTGGGTGTGGGGAAGGGGAAGGCCTACACTGGATGCGGATGGCACCACCCAAAAAGCTTGTAGGCTGGAAGGGATAAAAGGGAAAAGGAGGCTCCCTGCTGCTGTTGCTTCTGCTTCCTGCCTGCCCTGCCATGGAGTGTTTCTCCTCTGCGATGCCCTCTGCCATGTACCCTGCCCTGCAGTCAGTCAGCCATGGATGACACCTCTACACACTGTGAGCTGAAATAAACCTCTTCTTCAGCTTGCGAGTGTCAGATATTTTGTCTCAGCAGTGAAAACAACAACCAACATACCTATCTTACCTCTGGCTTTCCAGCTGAACTTTTATTTCTGTAAATGTATGTTTTAGCTTTCATTTCTAGGTTCTGGTTTTTTTATTATTTTTTTTTTTTTCCAGTACCAGGAATTGAACTCACGACCTCGCACTTGCCAGGCGGGCACTGTGCCGCTGAGCTAAATCCCCAGGCCCCTAGCTTTCATTTCTATTATTACTGAAAGCAAAAATCAAGAATCCACGCCCACACATCCAGTCGTTTCCTGTGCTCTGGCCGGAAGCCACCCCTTCCACGTTCACTCCGAGTCCTCAAAGCTGAGCTCGGCCTGAGTGACTCTCCTCCCTCCCCAAGGCAACGGGCAGGGCACCCGAAGACCCCTTGCCCTCTCTCCTAGACCCGGGTCCCTAATTATCACCCCTGAGCTTCCTTCCCACGGGCATCCCTGGAGCAGTAAGGAGCCTCAGGGTGGTCCCAGCTCAGCCAAGGCGGCAGGGCCAGCATCGAGGAAGCCTGGTCAGAGCAGTAAGGCCACAGTTCATGTGTGCCCCGCGGGGGGCCGGGGCCCGGACTGCCCAGGGGGACTTGCAGTGTCCCAAGACCCCGGGGCCAGGAGTTGCCTTGAGCAGGGAGCAAACCCAGCAGGGTCCGTGAGCTTTCAGTCACCAACCACTGAGGCGCAGACACTGGTTGTGCCCGGTGCTCAAGGAAAAACGACCCCAAACCGAGGCTGCACACCTGACCGAGCATATCCAGCCCAGTCACGAGTACGCAGCACAGCGATGGTGCGAGTGGGGGTCCGAGCCCTGCAGCCGGCACGGGGCGGGGCCACTGGGCTTCCAGCCTGAGCTCTGCGCTCGGATCCGCAGGCCTCGCTCCACAATCTGTGCATGCGCGCGCGCACACACACACAGGGGGCCCAGCCCCAGCCCCCAGCGTGGCCCCTTCTGGTAGGAAAGAAGCCGTCTCTAGCTCACATGTCCCAGGGCCACAGGTGACAGTGGCCAGTGTCCCTCTTCCCCTGATCTCCACAGTGATCCCCCCCCCCCCCGCCAGGTGCCACCTACTGCTCTGGGCAGGGATGGCAGGGCAACCCCCAAAGGAGCCCCTCAGGTCACCGAGTGGGCTTCCTGTGGCTGACACGGGGCCCCCGCCCCGAGGTGGCCAGAGAAGTGAGTTCATTCGCCCGAGGAGCTACAGGTGTTGCCCAAGGCGAGCGCTTGCTAAAAGGATCTCAAGGCCCCCTGCCAAGGTCCCCCCTGCAGGTGTCTGCCGACTTCCTGCGGCCTGGCGGGCACCTCAGCCACCAACGATGCTGGGCTTTCCTGGCTGTAGAGGGCGACCGACTCCCCTTCCCGGGTTGCTTCATCACAGGCTTGGTCATCCTCGAGGTGGGGAAATGGCCCAGAGGCAGACAGGAAAGAGGAAACAGAAGCCTGGAGCCGTGGGCGCCCCACCCCTGCCGCAGAACCGAGCCCCCCCCCAGCCTGCCTGAGCCCCGGCCGCCACCGAGGGGCCCCTGGTGCCATGGTCAGAAGTCAGCAGCCCAGTGGCCCAGCCGCAGAAGCCACACAGACGCTGCCGCCTGTTGCAAGCACGGGGTGGGGGCTTTAAAACTGACGCTCCCCGGCGGAACACACTGCACGGGCCCCAACGGCCCCAGCAGCCAGGTAAAGCAGAAGGCAAGCAGGGACAGCGCGGGGCCGGGCGACCCTGGCGCAGGCGAGGCCTGGCTCCGGCCCCAGCACTGATGAAGTAAGAAAGAAACCTTCACGGGGCAGCTCCTGAAACTCAAGGGTCAGAATGCGCGTGGCTGCAGCTCTGCAGAAAAGTAGGACCCGCTGGGAAGGAGGATTTTAGCAGTCGTAGGGAGAAGGGCTTCAGAATGAGCTCTCCAAAGTAAAAGATGGCCGTGGCGGTGCACACCTGTAATTCCAGCCCTGGGGAGGCTGAGGCAGGGGGATCACCATGAGTTTGAGACCAGCCTGGGGTACACAGTGAGTTCAAGGCCAGCGTGAACTTCATAGTGAGACCGTCTCAAAACAAACAGAAGATAATAGGAAACAGAGATAGATCTCCCCTTGAGAAGAGGACCAAGAGCTGGGGAAGAAGGGCGGGGACGCAGAAAGAATAAAGACGTGCTGCGTATGGGACAACTCCACGGTG